ATTTATGAAATCTCAAATTTCAATGATGACCTTATGAAAGTAGTAACAATAACTAAATTTAATTACTGATTATCTTTTTAAATATTAATTATTATATACTCAACTTTGTTTTTATTATTCCAAATTTTAATTTTCATTGAACTAAACAAGAAATTCTGAACTTTTTGATCTCTTATTATAAAATTATTCATTAGTTTATTTTCTTTTTGTATTTCTTAGACCATTTGATATTAATTCTACTTATTTCTATAAAACAAATTATTCTGTAGTGTTCATACTTGCTCTAGGTCTTGTTTTTGGAGATTCTTCTGTTTAGATAGTTTCACTTTCTTATTATTATTACTATAAATATACTGAAACAGTTTTCATAAAAAATTATCGAAAATTTAACATAGCCTAAGTAGTTTATCCTATAACAATGTGATTTTTACTAGAAATAGAATTCTGAAATATATGAGAAAATAATAATAATTAACTTTTATTTAAAAATTTAGATATTAGTAGTTTGAGTTCCTCTTTATTTTATTTTTATTCTTTTTCAACTGCAGATTCTTTACAAATACTGTTGGTAGATAGAAAAGTGTTCCTTTTTTAACTTTGAATCATATTAGATTTTTTATTCTTCTTTTATGTTTATTTTTAATAGTTGTTCATTTCTGTACCTAAAGACATATCATAAAATTCTTTAAAATTAGCAATTGGAAATTAGATTTTGCCAAAATTATTAACAAATTCATCATAAGTAGCTTTAACTCTCATAAATTCAATATAGATAGTCCATTCTTCCATTCCTTCTTCACTTATTGCTGAGAAATAGAAATCTCTTCTTGGCATTAATTTTTATCTTTTAAACCAACCACCAGTTCTAATTTCAAAAGCATATTTTGAATTAACTTTTTCTTTATCATTAAGAGGAACGATCTAATAAATACTACTTAAATTTATTGTTCCTAATGCATTCTATGGTTATCTATGATAATCTAATTCACTATAATAATATTTAAATTCTTTTTAGGTCATTAAACAATATCTTTCTGCCCAAGTAACATTTTTATCTGATTTCTTTTTTAATAAACCTAATTTAATATTATTAGTTTTAGTAATTAATTTAGTTTAAATTGATTTAATAATTATAGATCTTTTAGCTTTATGTGATAATTCTAATTCTCTATGTTTTATGTTAGATTAACTATTCCATTTTTATTCAGCTAAAATCCAATTATGTTCCAATCTTTAAGCTTCTAATTTTTCATTAATTTCAAATTAAGATGGAATCTCTTATAAAGCTTAAGCATAAAATTTATGTAATTCTCTTCGTTAAGAAAACAATAATCTTTAATAAATTATTTCTCTAAGAAATGGTTTAGCAAATCTATAATATTTATTCAAATCATTAAGTTCCATTGTTTCAATTATTTCGGATTCCTCTAAACTATTTAAAATTTTAATTAAATTTTCTTTTTAAATTACTTCTTTAAATGGTTGAATTTTATTAAGTGTTTAAACATCAAATATATCTCCAATAATTGATGCTACTTTAAGTATTAATAATTCTAAACATCCTATTTTGTCTAAATATGATGAATTAATTCTAATTTTATTAAGTGGAGCTTCTAAAATTACAAATTCATCTAAATTTAATATATTTAAGAGGCAATCATTCAGAGTAGCAATTTCTTATTATTTATTATCTATAATAATATAATTGTCCTTTAATAATTTTTCAATCTAATAATAATAAATGATGAATATTTACTAAAGTGATAAATGTAAGGGGATTTCCTTAGGTTTTTCGATAAAGAGTTTATATGAAAAATTCTTGAGTGTTACATTACATCATTTAAGTTTTAATGTATTCATAATGAAGAATATTCTAATCTTGAAGATTAGAAAGTTCTTAATTTTTTGAACATTTAATTTTATTGATATGAAATAAATCAGATAGTAAGACTTAAAAATCAGATAATAATAGATTTTTAAAACTAATATATTCAAAATTACTGATGTCATTTAATTTAGTAGCAATTGATTCTAATTCATCTTCAATCATTTAGATTTAATTTTAATGTTATTCATGAAATTAGAATTGTTCAAAGTAATCATGTCTAAAAATAAAAATGAATAGAATGAATTTATTGTGTTTCATGAGATGCTTAATAATTTTGAGAGAATCTTCATCAATATTATGACCATCATCTAATACAAATATTATTTTCTGAGAGTTTGTAATTGATTGATATTTTGTAAATAAACAGTCAATTTTTTCTTTGAGCATTTGAATATCTAAGGATTCAGAGGAATCATTTTTCTTTTTCAATTATTTATCAAATATTTAGATTTAACTAATAGGTTCAAAGTCAAATAACTATATTAATTAATCCTAATTTGAATCAAATATTTGATTTAATAATTAAAAGTCATTTGGTAAATTTAATTTGATAGCTATTTATTTAAGAAAATGTTAGAATATAATTTTAATAGCATATAAATATTATTATTCTTTCTACAAAAATGAGCATAATCTAATTTATAGAAAGTTAAAATCTTGTTAGAATAAATCAATACATTATTTAACACAGTATGATTTACCTGATCCTTAATTACCTGAGATTTTTAGAAGACCATTAGATGAATTTTGTATTTAAAACTATTAGATAATTCTTTAGATCAATCGAAGATTATTTACATCAAATAAATAATTATCTAAAAGTCTTGGAAAAAAAGGATTATGAATTCTAATTTTATTTAATTCTAAGTTTGATTCTGGATAATAGATGTTTACTTTTTCAGCTTTTCCTTTAACCTAAACAGATTTATAATAAGATATATTCATTTTCTATAACGCTTCTTTAGATGTTTCTAGATCAAGTAAAATAGAATGATGTTCATCTTTACATGCAATTTACATTAATCTAGCTGCAAGATTAACAGAATCTCCAATAACAGAATATCTATTATAAATTAAATATTGATAATTACTCTCTTCTAGAACCACTAGTTCCAACTACTCCAGCAAAAGTACATCCAGTTGAAATACCAATCTTACAGGAACAATTTATTGCCTTCAATTCTTACTACATTGTAATAGCAGTCATTACTGCTCTAGCTGGATCATCTTATTTAGACATAGGAGGTAAACCAAATACAACAATTAAAGTAGATCCTTTATCATCCATCAAGATTTTGTTAAGTGATCCTTAGAATGCATATATTGATTTTTATACAGTTTCTATAACTTATTAAATATGAGTTAACCCATCAGAATTAAGTGCAACTGATAAATCAATGTTAAGATTAACAAACATAATTGTTAATATTCTTAATTCTGAACTCCACTTTTCTTAATCTACCTAAATTTATATGCAGACTTACAAATATGTATTATTATAAAGCAGCAGGTATGTATCTAATTAAATGATTTTTGATTGATTCAAATGATTAAGGACTTATTTTATTTTTAATTAATAAAGCATTTGATATGTTTTAGACTTTAGCTCCTTTATTAGAATGTACAAAATAGTATTAATGATCATCGACTTTGATACAATTATAATATTATCCAACCATTTGAAATACATCTTGAGATATAATGACTTGGCCTCCTTTAGTAGCACAATGTTCACTCTCAAATGCTTAAATCAATGCTTATCCTGTGGCTAAGAATTCATTTCTATTAAACACTCCTCCTACATATAATATATTTATATCTCCAACTCCGAATCCTATTTTAACAGATAGTTTAATATTTTCTAATATGAATGTATCATTTAATTTTGCTTAGATATCTAAAGCACTCTATATTCCTTAACGAAGTAAAGTTCTTAATTGTTCATCTTTGTCATTCTATCCTGTTGGAGGTGGCCATACTACTATTATTGCATCTCCTGCAAATTTGAATATATCTCCTCCACTCTTTGATATCGATTTTATCAATAATTCCATATATCTATTTATAGCAAATGCTATCACTTCTGATCCTTCAGGACCTATTTTTGAAAGCTATTCTGTTAAATTTGTAAATCCACAAATATCAGCAAACATTATTACACTCTTAAATGACTGAATCTCTGGAACATGACCTTTTATTCCCTTTATTTGATTCTCTAAAATATGCTAAAATACTAATGCTGGAATAAACCCTAATATAGATTGCACCTTAACATTGCTTTATAGATTAACATTCTACTAATTTATCATATTATTTTATTTATTAAATAATCTATCATTATATCTATTCACATCCTTTTCTTATCATTTTCATTAATCTATTCTTTATCAATTAATTCTATTATCATACATCTTCTATCTTCAAACATCACTGATACCATTTTTAATCATTACTTAAACTAATTTATAATTATTTCTCAAAATCAAAAAAATAAATTAAATTATCATATTTTCTTTTAACATCAACCTTTTTTAACTTTTTATTAATTTATAAATTTTCTAATACACTATTTTTTACTCAAATCATATAAAAATATTTCGTGCATTTTATGATCCTTATGAAAATTAATTACATTTATACTCTATCTATTATATTCTAATTTCAATTATTCTTATTAAACTAAAATAATAACTTAAACAAATATCATAATTGCTTCTAAATTGTTTATATAAATATGTAACTTTTAAAATTCCCATAAATAGTCCACTTGTAAATCATTCCAATTCATTTATGATTCTATAAAAATTTAGAATAATTGCAAACCTTCATATTTTTATCAAAATTAGGGATTCTAATTTATATATTATTAAGACTATCCATCCATTACATTTTTTAATCTAATTATAACATAATAGAAACTTATTTAGTCATTCTAATATTCTTATATTCAGTTACTTATGCTCAAATTATTCAAAATATTGATCAAATTAAGTGGCTATAGTTCAAATTTTTAGAACTCTTTTATTTTTGAATAATAATAAATTAATTAAAATAATTTATATATGATGTTACAAAGTAACTTCATATAAGTGAATAACATAATTTTAATTCATTATTTATGACTTTTTTTATTAAGATTCTAAAAGGTAATAGTAAAAGGACCATCATTCAAAAAAAGTAAACAATTTATCATTAATAACAAGAAACGTTATATAATCAATTATATATAAATATATGGAATACCAGAATAAAATTTAATTTGAAAAGTTAATTTGCCACTTCATACTTTCTTTTTAGATAGAATAAATAATATATTATTAGCAGGAGTTCTAATATTGATTAATATTAAAATGAACTTTTACGAAGGAACTCATAAAGTATGTACAGTATAAATTATAAAAATGAAAAATAAAAAAAATTAAATGAAGATTTGAGAAGCATATTCTTTACTGAAAGAGGGATGAATAACCTTCATCTTAGATTCCATGATGAACTTAAGCTTAATTTAATAAGGCATCATTAAAGAGAATTTTAAAAGAATGAATTAGAATTAGATATTTTTAACACCTTCTTATATCCAATTAATTACATAAATTAATCCTATCAAAATTTATTTCTGAATTGTGATTAAAATTTAAGAGAATAGTATTTCCGAATGATTAAATGCAATATTCATAAAGAATTATAAATANTTATAAATTTTCTAATACACTATTTTTTACTCAAATCATATAAAAATATTTCGTGCATTTTATGATCCTTATGAAAATTAATTACATTTATACTCTATCTATTATATTCTAATTTCAATTATTCTTATTAAACTAAAATAATAACTTAAACAAATATCATAATTGCTTCTAAATTGTTTATATAAATATGTAACTTTTAAAATTCCCATAAATAGTCCACTTGTAAATCATTCCAATTCATTTATGATTCTATAAAAATTTAGAATAATTGCAAACCTTCATATTTTTATCAAAATTAGGGATTCTAATTTATATATTATTAAGACTATCCATCCATTACATTTTTTAATCTAATTATAACATAATAGAAACTTATTTAGTCATTCTAATATTCTTATATTCAGTTACTTATGCTCAAATTATTCAAAATATTGATCAAATTAAGTGGCTATAGTTCAAATTTTTAGAACTCTTTTATTTTTGAATAATAATAAATTAATTAAAATAATTTATATATGATGTTACAAAGTAACTTCATATAAGTGAATAACATAATTTTAATTCATTATTTATGACTTTTTTTATTAAGATTCTAAAAGGTAATAGTAAAAGGACCATCATTCAAAAAAAGTAAACAATTTATCATTAATAACAAGAAACGTTATATAATCAATTATATATAAATATATGGAATACCAGAATAAAATTTAATTTGAAAAGTTAATTTGCCACTTCATACTTTCTTTTTAGATAGAATAAATAATATATTATTAGCAGGAGTTCTAATATTGATTAATATTAAAATGAACTTTTACGAAGGAACTCATAAAGTATGTACAGTATAAATTATAAAAATGAAAAATAAAAAAAATTAAATGAAGATTTGAGAAGCATATTCTTTACTGAAAGAGGGATGAATAACCTTCATCTTAGATTCCATGATGAACTTAAGCTTAATTTAATAAGGCATCATTAAAGAGAATTTTAAAAGAATGAATTAGAATTAGATATTTTTAACACCTTCTTATATCCAATTAATTACATAAATTAATCCTATCAAAATTTATTTCTGAATTGTGATTAAAATTTAAGAGAATAGTATTTCCGAATGATTAAATGCAATATTCATAAAGAATTATAAATAATAATTGTAATTGTAGGAAAAAGTTCAGAATTTAAATAATTACAATATAAAGATCTTTTTCTTATTAGGATTAAATTCCTAAACCTTCATTTCAAAAGGTTTATATTAATAAAATTTTGTTAATTGAGTGATGTAATTCAACCTATATTAGTTATTTAAATAGAGAATATTACTAAAAAAACATAAGATTGAGTAGATGAATCAAGAAAAGGAAGCCCATTAATTAATTACTTAAATAATTTTCTCATGATTTAATACTCTTTTTTATAGTTCTTAAGATATGCTTTTAATGATAAAGGATAAGATATAAGATACTTATATACTTGTATATATAGAAATAGCTTATATATCAATTCTCTTTTTAAATTATTAAATAAAAGAAAAATTAAAATACATAGTTAATTAATATTAAAAAGATAGAATTTAAAATTAATTTAGATGAAAGAGTAAAGAATTGAGTATACGTTAAGATAAATAGAGATCAGGCAATTTCCTATAAATCTATTAACCAATTCATGCAAATTTACTTTTTAAGGTATAAAAATAGTACTTACTATAAAGGTAATTGAAAATCATTTTAAAAAGATTTAAGTAAATGATGCAAGTATAGGAATTGTTTTAGTAAAATAATCAACATTAAAATAAATATTAACAAGTTCAATTGGAAAGAGTCTTCGAATTAAGAAAAGTCCTGAATTGAGATTGAATATCTGTTATAATAGTAGAAGGACTTGTATAAAATATGATGGTATTTTAGAGCTCAATTCTAAACAAAAAAAAATAAAGGAACTAAAATTTATTTTAAAATTGAATATTAAATGTCTTTTAGGGATGAATCAGTAAGAAATCCTATTATCTCAGAATATACTAACAAAAATAATGCTTATAAATATATGATATTCCATAATGAATCTAATCAGTTAGATTAAGATAAATATTAATTGAGATAATCCTTTTCTGAGAATACAAAAAATTAAGATTATTTGTCTCCATCCAAAAATCTAAAAGAAAAAGAAATAATACAAAGAATAGATTTTATAAACTTATATTAGCAACTTAAACATCAGAGAGTTTGCTTGAAATGGTCAATAATTCTAATTATAATATAGAATTGCCAATCAGTCCATTTTATTTTAGATACAAATCCCAAACAAAATGTTTTACTTGCTAAATATGTACTCAATGCTTTCAAGTTTAAATTGTAGATGATGTTCATTTCAATTAGATTGCTTTAAAAGTATTACGTTTATATTATAAAATACAAGATGATTAAAGACACAATGAATATTAAGCAATAGAAATGTTTAAGAAATAAATATACATCATTTTTAATTTAATATTTTAGTATTTATGGACATTGAGATGCAAGAAATAAATGGATTCCAAACAACTAAATAAGTTAAAATAAAAATTATTTTAAAATATTAGATACTCAAAACAACATAAGACTCCACAAAGATTGTGATGTGTTTTGCATATGACAATAAAGATAACTTTTAGTGAAGCAAAAGATGTTGGAATGTCTAGGTTTTTATCTAAGGCAGTTCAACAAAAGGATTTAGAAAGAATTCTTAGATAATATAGTTTAATATGATATAATTTTAAATATTTCTCCACATAGTCTAATTGTTACTAAGAGAACCAAGAATAACATAAGTTTAAAAGTACAATTTAATTTATCTAAATAATAATTAATCTGATTTAATAAGGTTCGTATTACATAATTAATGATGGGTATAATACTGTATTTGCATTTCTAAAGAATTAACACATATTTAAATAAAATAAATTCAATATTTGGGTAAGTGTAGATTATGAACCATAGATACATTTTCCTTCTACAAATTATTTAAAACATCTGGTGGATAATTGAAATGTTATTAATTTAAAAGTCTTCAAATTACACATATTACTTTTTGTGTTCATTATGTATAACAACAAGGCTACTTGCCTCGATTATCTATCTAAAATAGCATTAGAAACATGATCGATTTATTCTCATAACTACATTAGCTAATAATGTTTGTTATACTGAGGCCAATATTAACTTTGAAAGTAAGAATTTATATTTAAATCATATCAATACTTTAATCATCCTATTAAATTACATGGAGGCTCAAATTTTAATAAAAAATCAACCATTTGATTTACTTACAAAATTTACATTTCCAACATATATATTAATGAGATTGATCTCCCTTATATTTATATAGTTTGATATACAATTATGTGAAGCTACATCCCTTATGCTCTTATTTTTATGTGTATATTTTTCAAATTATAATACCTCTGTAAATTCAACTCAAACAAATCCTAAATTAGATCATTACTAATAAAATTGTTCTGCATCTTTGCATTAATCATAAGTTAAATTAGAGAAGCATCTTACTTTGAATTCAAATAAATTGAATCACGGCCCTGATAAAAATTCATAACCAAGAAATAGTTTTTAAATTAATATAAAAGATTCATACAGAGAAGAAAGTGCACCTATACCTACTTTTCATTCAAAACTTAAACCAGGATATAAAAGTTAATATTCACATCTAGTTGTAGATAGAAATGATTCTTAACTTTAAAATTTCTATTAAAATCTTGTAAATGTTTTACCAGAAGGAGTTTTGATGTTAAATAAATTTCAGTAAATCTAATTCATAAGTACTAAATGTGAAAAATTACTAGAATGTGATGGAAAAGAAAAAGTAATAGAATACATAAAAAAATGTTTGTCAAATTGTGATTTACCTGAAGATGTATAATCTATGACCAGAACTAAAAATAAATTGACTTAAAGAGTCTTAGAAGAAATTATAAGAATCTATAAATAAAATTTCTAAGAATTAGACATTTTTGATGTTTTACTGAATCCAAATAAATATATCTAAGCATTATTTTCTGGATAGAATGGATAATTAGAATAAGATAGAAGCAGTTCTGGATCAGTTTATTTTTCTGATCCTTCTACATTATAAGAACATACTTTTTGTTTTGAAGGTTCTATTGAGAAAGAGAAAAACGATTAATCAAAAAAGCTCAAATTCATTTTGGTTTAAACTTAGATGACTTTAACTTAATAGGAAGCAATCTCATAAAATGGATAGACTAATTCGAAAAGGTAAGGATTTAATGATATGCCATAACCAATACTTTTAATATTGATTAAAAATATAACACATAAAAATAAAGTTAAAGAGTTAAAAGAAGAAAGATTGATTAATAATTCACTCTTAAAGTCTTTTTCACATGAATTAAGAACACCTTTAAACAGTTGTTAATATATGCTTAATCTAATTAAAGAAGTTTCAAAAGATGATATTATACAAATGTATCTAAATACAGCATCAAGTTCTATAAAATTATTAATTTATTAAATTAATGATATATTAGATTTTGCTGCAATGTAATCAAAATCTTTTTCTTATCACACTACTACATTTTGTCTCAAAGATCTCATTTAAGAAATACATGACTTATATGATTAATAAACAAATTTTAAAAATATCAAATTAGATATCTTATATGATTAATCTTTATATAATCAATTTTTCATAAATGATAAATAAAGAATTATGTAAGTATTAGTTAATTTATTAAATAATTCCTGCAAATTTACTAAACCTTATGGAGAAGTTTCATTAATATTTAAATAAATGAAAGGTAATCTTATTGAAGTAACTGTTAGAGATGATGGAATAGGAATCTAATCAAATAAACTTGAACTATTAAGAAAAGCATTTTGCAAACCTTCTTCTAAAATATCTCATGAATAATCTGCTTTAGGATTTGGTCTCAAAATATCAGGAAAAATTGTTAAAGGATTAACTTATAATAAAAATTATTTAGATATCAATTCAAGTCATAATAATGGAACTCAAGTTTCTTTTTTATTTTAAAATTAAGAAATTATAAATTAGGAATTCTTATTATCTCCATAATAAAGTAATATTACTGGAAGATTTGAAATGTCATCTCCTGCATCCTCTAAATTCATTCACAAATTAGAATTATCATAATCTTTAACAAAAGGACTCTAATAAAAATTTGAAACTCCTTAAAATGAATCAATTATTCTAAAAGAACATCTAGAAAGTCCAAGATTAAATTAAGATTAATTAAGTTAAGTTATTATTCCTACAAGTTGTTATCATTTCAAAAATACTCATGTATTACATCATAAAAAATAAGGTTCACTTCAATCTTTTTAAATTAATATAAATAATTGTGAAGATTGCTCTTAAATTTTAGTAGTTGATGATATACCATTTAATCAAATTGCTTTTATTTAGATGTTAAATCATTTTAAAATTAAGGCTGAATCTGCTTTTGATGGATACTAAGCTATTGAAATGGTAAAATAGAAATTAATTAAACATTGCAAATTCTATAGATTAATTTTTATGGATATTGAAATGCCTGGTTAAAATGGTTTCTAAACTTCTAAAATTGTAATACTAACCCCTATAACTAGATTTCACAAATTCCTGGTGTCTAATCTATAATTGTTATGTGTTCTGCATATGATACTCTTGACAATTATAATTTCGCTTCACAAGTTGGTATAAGTGAATTCTTACCTAAACCTGTTAATAAAAAAGACTTAGATAAAATCTTGAAAAAGTATTTATTCAAAATATGATCAAAGTTTTTATATGAGTATTTTTTACTTTAGTTAATTAATTAATTATTATTCAAATCAAACTGTTTTATTTTTTTTTCTTCAAATTAACATTTTCATCCTCTTTTTCCTTAAATTTTGAAGCTTAAATTAAATATTTTGTCTTATAATTGTAAAAAACAAAACTTAATTTGCAATATATTGTAAGTAATTTAATTTGCATAATTTAATAAAGAGATATTGATTAGTATATGAAACAACTACTCAAATTATTTGCAATGAACATTATATTGATAGCCAATATTATCTAAAGTTTATGGTGGATGTTATTAGCATTATATTTCATTAAACCAATAAATTACTTTGTATTTTACTTACAAATTGGGTGTGTCACAATGAGGGTTTTATAGTAAATATTAATCACTAAAAATTATGGATTGTTTTTATTTGTGCATTTAGTATCTCTCTGTTATTATGTATCATATATAGAATCCTTATTGCTTATGAATAATAATTACTCATTAGGCATCTTCTCAAATAGTTTATTAATTATTGTTACATATAATTCTTATTTGAAATTTGCAATTTAAAAATGGAGTTAGATTTGTAAATTAGGACTTCCTTTTTATGTAATTCTAAGACTCATATCAATGATATTTATTTCATTCAGTTATTATTCATTAGAGAGCTTATTAATTATAATAGTTGTTTTGGTTTAATATTTGTTATAAACAGAAGAATCAATTTAAAGAATTCATGTTAATGATGATAATTGTTAAAAACTAAAAACTAAATTAAATGCTAAAATCCCAGAATTATAATTAAAAAGAATAGAAGAAACAGATTCACCAAAGCATTAATAATAATCTTTATTAAAATCTTTTAGTAGAGTCTCACTAATCCAAACACCTTTAAAGAGTCAAAGCTTTTTAATAAATAATCAATAAAGTGATTCAAAAATGGGATAGTTTTCTAATTTAACAAATCTGTCGAAATCTTAAAAGAATAATAGGTATTCTGAAAAATCAGATTTACAATTACACATATTTTATTAGAATCTTATTAATATATTTCCTTAAGGAATATTGATATTAAACCAATATTAATAAGTTAGTTATATGAATAATAAATGTGAAAAACTATTAGAATGTTAAGGTGGGGAATCAGTTTTAGAAAAAATAAAGATTTGTGTCAATGATGCAAAAATGTCTGATAATGAAAATGAAATATCTAATTTGTTATAAACTGCTAAATCTAATAAACAAATAAATTAATATACTCTTTAAAAAATAGTTAGGAAACTTTAAAATGAAAAAAGAAGAGTAGATATTTTAGATATACTTCTCTATCCATAAAAATATTTTGGAATATTAGACTAGAAAGCAGAACCATTTTATCAAGAGGATTCAAAAACAGATTTATTAACATTTTAATAATAAGCGTTTATTTATGAATGGTTAATGGAATCTGAATCATAAAAATAAATTAATCAAAAAAAATTGAAATTAATAATAATTCCAACATCAATAACAGGTTAACAATAAGAATACATATCTCTTCCTTCAATGATTAAATGTTCAAGTAAACTCAATATATAAATTAATAATGATGCCGAAGTTCCAGTTTTACTTATTATGATTAAAAATATCACTAGCAAACATAAGTTTCAATAAATGAAGGATGAATAAATTATTCATCATAGTTTAATCAAATCCTTTTCACATGAATTAAGAACTCCATTAAATTCATGTTAACATATGTTAAATCTAATAAAATCTACAGTCTTAGATAATAATGTTTAAGAATATATAAACATTGCTAAATGTTCTATTACATTATTGATTCATTAAATTAATGACATTCTTGATTATGCAGCCATTCAATCTTTCTCATTCTCTTATCATATAACAAGATTTACAATAAATTAAATTACTCAAGAAATTGAGAATCTTTATAAAATATAAATGAAACATAAAAAAATTAAATTTATAATCAAAACTTAATAGTCTCTAAAGGATTCTATTATTTGTAATGATAAATAAAGAATACTTTAAATTTTGGTTAATTTATTAAATAATGCTGCTAAATATACAAAAGAAGGAGGAAAGGTTAAGTTAAGTATTAAATAGAAAAGTTTATCAAATCTTAATATCTAAGTAAAAGATAATGGAATTGGAATTGAAGATGATAAATTATCTTTAATTAAAAATAGTTTAAATGGTATTTTTGAATTTGGAGCTAGATTGAAAACACATTAAGTTACTTAAAAAACAGGTTTAGGATTAGATATTGCAGCTAAATTAGTAGAAGGTTTAGTTGAATCAAATAATAATGAATTAATAATAAGTTCTATTAAAAATTAGGGAACAAAAGTTTAATTTTAAATTTAAAATTTTTTGACTGCAACTAATGATTAATTTTAATCTTCAAATTTAGTATCTTAATTAACTGGAAGATTTAATTAATCAGGTATTTAATACACATTAAGTGAAAGAAAATTTGAAGACAGAATGCAAATGAAATAGATTAATTCAAAATCAGATTAAGATATATAATTTTAGGAAAATTTTGTGTATGAATCAGAATCATCACTTAATACACCTTAATTAAATGATATTGAGAGATAACCTTAAATTTCTTTACCTATCAGTCCAGATTATTTCTCTCATAAATTTATTTCATCTTGTAAAAATATATTACGATTTGATTCTATTCTTAAAAGTATTTAATTATGTGATTAATGTGTACATGTTTTAATTGTTGATGATATTCCATTTAATTAAATTGCACTTAAATTGATGCTCAAACATTATTAAATTGAAGCTGATCAAGCATTTGATGGATTTTAAGCCATAGATAAAGTAAAGGCAAAATTAGAAAAACATTGTTTTACTTATAAATTAATTTTTATGGATATTGAAATGCCTGGAATTAATGGCTTTTAAACTAGTAAATAAGTATAATTTATGTAATATTTAGATTAATGAATTAACATAAAGCCAATCGACAATAGTTATATGTTCAGCTTATGATACTTAAGAAAATTTTATTGAAGGATAAAAAGTAGGTATTTCCACATTTCTTCCTAAACCTGTAAAATAGGATGAATTAGAGGAAGTTTTGAAAACACTCTTTTAAATTAAAAGGAATTATAATTGATCTTTTTATTATTATATTATTATTTGTATAGAATACTATGAACTTCTTAAAATTTATACATCTAAAATCAAACTAAAAAATAATACAGAAAATCATTAACTAGATAAATTTAATATCAATATTGATTTTAAACATTATTTTTATTTTAAAAAGCTTGCTATTTTGGATTATCATAAATCATCACCTCTGTTAAACTTCATTTTTCATATGATTTTAATAATGATATCTAATCTAATTAATAGATATGAACATTAAGAAAAACAAATTTTAAAAAATAATATTAGAGAAAAAGGACTAAGACATATATATTTTTGAATTAGAAACAAGGAGAAATATATTTATTTTTAATAAATCAAAAAAACTGCTTTATTAAATGGAAAAAGATTAATAGTACAAGAATCAAGAGTTGATACTGTCAAAACTTAATATTTTTTGTTTTAGTACTAAAATATGAATATGGAAAATTTCTAATAAATCTTACAAAATAAAAAATAATATATATGATGACTGGAAATATATTATTAAATTCTATTCATCATCAAGGCAAACAATTATGAATCTCCAGTTTGAGAAAAACACAAAAATTAATTTTGTTAAAATTTTTCTTTAGAATCAAATAAAATTTTAAAACTAAAATTTTTTAATTTTAAACATTTTGGATTTTTTATATGAAAATTTCATAAAGAGAGTCGATAAATTTTATTCCTCAATTAATGAATTAATTAGGATAGAAATAAATCTTATTTTCAACCATTAGAGAATAATTTGATTATAAAAATATAATAATTATTATAGTAATACTAATTAATTTAGATGTGAATATAATAGAAAAAATTGTTTAAAAATTTGACTGCATTAAATAATTTAAAAGTATGAACGTTTTTAATGATTTATAATAATACTTAATCTAAAGAAAGTAATATAAAATAATTTATAAAAAATATTTGATTTTTAACTAAACAACTCTAAAATTATCAAATTATTTCTCAAAAGGGGAGTATGATGATTATTAGTATTTAATTGAGTAGGAGAAGAGAAAGAATTGAGATAAGAAAAAAGAAATTTGAAATAATTATATTAATTAGTTAAATGATTATTGTTATATTATGTGTAATTACTTTGTGTAATTCAAATGAGATATATGTAAATACAATAAGACCTAAGTTTAATCCATCAGAGACATATACATATTATTAATTACCATATTGTAAACCAAATGATTTGGAAGAGGTGATTGAAAGTTTGGGATAATAGTTATCTGGTGATTAATAGATGAAATCATTATATAAGTTTGATGAGAATATAGAGGATAAATAGGTATGTTAAAAAAATGTAACAAAAATGGAAATGTAGAAATGGATGGATGCAATAGATTAAGAATATATAGTTGAATTTTATATAGGGGATTAAATAATGCATGATATAGTAGGAATATTTGAAAATGGTTAATATTATCTTAAGAATAGAATAACATTTAATTTATATAAGTCTAATGATAAGAGATTAATGTATGGTAATATAACAAGAAGTGATAAAGATTTCATAGAAATAAATTCATAAGTAGATGGAATCGAAATTAGATTTTATTATAGTGTAATAATAAAGTAATATAATGAATTGATGAATGTCCATGATCATAGTGTGAAATGGCATTTATTAATATTTAAAAGCATAATAATATTAGTATTAGTTATAATTGTAAGTGGAGTATTAAGAAGATCAATATTAAATGATTATAGTAATATTCCAGATGAAGAGAATGAAATAGAACCATAAGGATGGAAGGCAATTAAAATAGAGTCATTAATGCCTCCATCCAATCGAATAGTATTTTCTGCATTACTTGGTACAGGAATCCATTTTTTAATAACAATTCTAGCGTTGTTAATTTTAGGATCATTTGAGTTGTTTGAAACACATAAGGGATCAATAAAATCAGCAGGAATAATCATATACAGTTTTGGCGGATGTAAGTAGAATAGTGATTCAATATTATTATAGCAATTAATGGGTATTACTGTGGGAAGTTTTATAAATTTTATGGAGGAAAGAGTTGGTTATTAAATTTATTTATTACTGCAGTATTATTTCCAGTATCTGCAATTTCTATTCTGTTTATGATAGATGTACTATCGTATTTATTTGGTACTACTACGACTCTTTCATTTACATCTATATTTTCTGTTGGATTTATTCTAACAGTTGTATATCTGCCATTAACAATAATAGGCGGTGTTACAGGTAGATTAAGAACTATTGATGAATTGTTTGAAAAAAGATTAAAGAAGAAATTTAAAATCTCAAATTATTATTTTCTATCAAAAGGATGTCTCTATGGAATAATACCTTTTATGTATATAGATAGATTCAATTAATAGATCTATCATTATAGAATTGTATTACATCTTACAGAGTACGTGGAGTGATTAACTATTTGAGTAGTATACATTGTTAATCTTTTCTTATATTTAATTATTGATCATTGTTGGTTGTTTATCCATCATCCAAACTTATTAATAATTAAATTAAGGAAATTACAATTGGTAATGGATATCATTCTTAAATGGAGGATAATCTATCATTTACATATTTGGATTTATATTTTGCTATTATTATTTTGTAAATATGCATGGATTTTTTTAATTTTTATTTTATTTTTCAGAAAGTATCCTAGCATGTTTTGTTTTATGGATGATGTTAGGTTCTGTAAGTTATTGGATATCATTAAAATTTGTGATATATATTTATACATCAAATAAATATTTATGAGCAATTTGTCATTTCTAATTAAAATATTAATTATTAATTATAATTATGAATAAAGAAATCTTGCCTTATGAAGCTATGTTGTATATTGAACCATACTTACATTCATCTACAGAAGAAATTAACAAAAGAGACTTAATGAATTTATGTCTTGATCGTATTAAAGCTTATTAAAAAGTTTATTAGTAATAATTCTCTTTTATTTAGGTTGTTTGGATAAATAGATTAAGCTGAATTATCAAAAGATGAAAAAAGATCAACAGAATTAAATTCTAAAGCCATTAAAATTTATAATGAATATCAATGTTATGATAACAATGATTAGTTTTGGATTCAAGATAATGCCGCGCATTTTTTTTTAGAATTAGCATATTCCGAAACTGATGAAAGAATCAATGAATTCATTAAATATTAAAGACAACTATTTTAAATTAGGTGTGAAGAATATCTTAAATATGATGAAAACAATTAAAGATTAATTAAAATGTATCAAATGTTATTGGATGATAAAGATTAAATCATCAAACTTACTCAACAAGATTGGGAAGAAGAATTACCTAAAATATATCGATTGCCTAATTAAACTAATAATTTAGGACGATAAATTGTATTGGGAACTGGAAAGGCCTAATTAAGACAATTTAATAATAGTAAAAATTATCTAAAATTCTTTAAAGTATGTATCTAATCTATAAATTTAGATACCTTTTTATAATGTATTGAATACTGTCTCTTAATTACATACATATATTAAAAATGGATATGCTTATATTCATGCTGATGAATTGTAAGTAGATTATTATTAATTCTTAGAAAATTCTGCTTATTAGATGTCTTCTTGGGAAGAATGAAAAAAAGAATGTAATCTAATCAAAACTAATATCAATATGAATTATTGAAATAGGATGAAGACATTGTTAATATGTTTAAGGCAATCATATCAACTGATTCAGGTATTTTAAGTTAAAAATAAAATAATTTTGAGTAAGACTCTCTAAATGCATCGACAGTAAAATAATAATCAAAAGAGTAAGATTAAAAATTAATATTTTTTAAGTTATTTTCCTCTTTGTATGGAGTATTTAATTGATAAATTGGAGGTCAATCATCATTTGAAACATTCTGGTAGATAATAGATTTAATTATTTTTTAAATCAGCTGGAATGAAATTGAATGAAGCTATTAAATATTTGAGAAGTAATTATTAAACATTATTAAAGTGTAGTTTTAATAAAAGATAAGTGAATAAGATTTTGATAAGAATTATCTCTACAATATTAGACATAATTATGGTTAGGAGGGTAAAAGAGAAAATTATTAATGTTTTACATGTGCATACAATATGGTAAGATTATATCATTATATAAATAATAGAAATAAAATCCAGGAAATGATGAATATCATGGATGTCCAATAAAGAGTTTTAATTCTGATGCCCTTGAGAAATACTTAAAGTTTAAGAACTATTAAGAAACAGACATAAAAAAAGTACTCGATTTAAAAAAATAAAACCATTTCTAATTGGCTTGCACTGAAATCTGGCATGCTAAAAATAAGAATAGTCAAGTTAATATAATTATTGATAATCCGGTTGTATTCTATAGAGAATCCTTGAATCATCACAAAAAGGTTTAATTAAAAATTGAAACAGAAGAACCAATAACAAATTGATTAATATATATATATATGTATAAAATGAATTAGAAAATTCATAAAGTTAGTTAGAATTATAGAAATAACTATATGAAAATATTGTTCTTTAATCATTAATTTATTTATTATGTCAATAACTGTTTCGAATTGCTAACAGATTTGTGGTTCACCATTAAACAACAGTACAGCTAAAAACTTATGGACATTTTCAAAATCAGATAGATTTGGAAATTTGGCAAATCCTGTTAAGTATTGGATGTGAATTAAAAGTAGTTGTGGAAAGGCTTTTTATGATTTGCCAACATAAATAGAGAAGCGATCAGCTGGAATAGGGAAAGGAACAAAGTAAAGAGATTAAAATATATATATACAAGAACTGATTTTACAAAAGTTGTATTTACAACTCCATCTCCATAATAATACAATATAGCAAGTGATGTTGAGATAAATTAAAAGAAGGCAAAAGGCAATAAATTTGGAATGAGTCGAGAGAAGATGGCAAGTACAGGAATATTAGGGAATTTAAATTCAAAGACTCCAGGTAGATAAATATAAAGATAATAATAGCTCCTGGAACATATGATTTAGGTTCAACATTAAGTGATATACGTTATACAATGAGATAGAGACCAAAGACAAATTTTATGGTGTTAACTGGTAAAGAAATTCCAGGTCCAGGGACTTATGAATCATTACCTGCAGTGAATCCTGTAGGTAAATATCCAATATCGAAATATAACAATTCTTGTGCTACATTATTCAACCCAAAGAATTCAAAGAGATTCGTTAAAGATTTTTGTAAGTGTTTTTAAACTTAATAAGTTTAGCCACAAATTTATAAGCTCCTGGACCAGGAACTTATCCTGTAGATAAAACAGGAATTTAAAAGGATGGACATTATTTCATTTCAAAATTCCATTCTTCTAATGTTAGAAGTTTTCCAAAAGAATCAAGAAGAACAGGATCAGTTGGAAAAGGTAATATGTAAATATTTACATTAGCTGGAACACCTGCTCCAGGCAGTTATAGATTACCATCTGAATTTGGATATTATGAATCAAGAAATAGAAATAGAAGTGCAGGAGATATAGGTGAAACTAAACCTTAATAATGATAGTGATAATCAATATCAATTTATATGGATTTTTATAAATCAATTATTTTCTTCTATCTTTTAAGATTACAAATATATTTTAAATTATTTCTTTATTAATTTTAAGTATCTTCTTATTATTATAATATATACATATATCATTAATTAATATGATTTATATAGATAATAATAATTATATAGCATTTATTTACTTTTAAAATATAATTTTATTAATAAATATATTTAACGAATTCATGGATTAACAGCTATCATATTACTAAACTCAATAATTTCTAGAACCCAATCAAGATCCTAATTAGTCTTAAAGATCTAAATCAAATACAAGAGATCTTCTCACTTCTCCCAATATTGTTTATGTTACTAGAACACTTCCATAATAACAAACATAACCACCAATTAGATTAGAAACTCAACAAATGAAACCTTCCTAATCTCATTATAATATTAAAGTTTAAGAAATTGTCAAAGTCATCGAACCATCTAGAGAAGAACTTGAATTTTATAAAAACAAATGTTCTTTATATGAAAAATAAATTTAAGAACTATCTAATGAAAATCATAGACTCAAAACTAATTGCCAAGAAAAAATTACATATATTGAAGATACCCATAGAATCTAATAATTAGAAAATAATTTATAATAATATTAAATTGAACTTAATAGAGTAAATACTCTCCTTAGAGAAACTACTAATGAAACAGAATAATATAAAATTAAACTTAATTAAATGAACCAATAATTTATGGTCTTCCAATAAAATCAAGTGGAATTCGAAAGAATCAAAAAAGGTTCGTAAGACAATGAATAATATTGGCAAAATGAAATTTAAAGATTGAATATACTTGTCTCTCAAAGTCAATCTTAATTATAATAAATGTAAAAAACTTTAATAGAATCCAAAAAATATGAGTAATCATATATTTAGTAACAATAAGTACAAGGATAATTAACTACTGAACTTGAAAGAATTACTACTTTACTTAAATAAAAATCAGAAGAATATGAACAATCCAAATCAACATATATTTAAGAAGTAGAAATTCTCTCCAAAAGATTAAAAGAATTAGAACTTGAAATTTCAAACCTTAAAAATAAGGAAATCAATTATAAATAAACTATTGAAGATTAAAATAAGGAAAATCATAATCTTTCTGATAAATTTATGAATGATATACTCAATAAAAATGAAGAAATTTCTAAATTATAATCTATTATTTAAACACTTTAAATCACTTTATAAGATACTTCCAAATATTAAGAATATGAAATTAGATCCAAATTATAAAATGAGGAAATTAATAATCTAAATCAAAAAATTAGAAGTAAATAAGATGAATTAGATAAGTATAAATAATAATTCATTATATATCAAAATTAATTATAAGAATATTAAAAATATACAGATTATGAAATCAAATATTAAAACTTAGCACAAGAATTTGATAGAGTCAATAATTCATTTATGATTAAATTATAAGAAAATGATCAATTAAGAAATTGTATTGCCAAATTATAAATCACACTTAATGATCATTATAAAGTAGAAGATTACGAAAATAAAATTGCATTATAAAATCAAGAGATTGATCGTTTACATTAAAGTCTTTAACATAAAATTGAAGAAATAGATAGACTTACTAATGAAAATAATAGAATTACCTAAATATTGAGATAAAGAAATGAAGAATTAGAAAATTTAAAATATAAATTATAAGATATTACTTAAATAAAAGAATATTAATAGAGGTATGCCTTATTAAGTACTGAAATTGAGAGATTAACTGTTTAATTAAGGAATAAGAATGAAGAAATAGAAAAAATTAGATCATAGTTTTCTTAATTTTAATTAAGTGAAGCTAATAAATTAAAAGAATTAGAATAAAAAAATGTTGTTTATTCTACTGAAATTGAAAGATTAAGCAATTTATTGAAAATTAAATTATAAGAAATTGAGTAAAATAAAGTGACAATTAAATAGTTGTAAGAGGAATTGGATAATTAAAAAATAAAAATTATCAATTAAATGGATGTTACAACTTTTAATGAAAAAATTACTTAACTATCTTAAGAAGTAGATTCATGGAAGACTCAATTTATTAATTTAAATAGAGAATATCATAAATAATAAGAATAACTTATTTTGTCAAATGCTGAACTTGATACTTTCAAGAAGTAAAAAAATGGATAAATTAAAGTAAATATTTATTTAAATCTATTTTTAGGTCGATTAATATGAGAATCAGAATTCTAAAATTTCATAATATCAATACGGAACATTAACGAATAGAAATTTTTGAGGATTTGAAATAATACTATACATTTATATATAAATTTATTGTTAATGAGCAATTTAGAGGGTCTCAATGAAGTATTTTAAATTTCAATTGTTAAAACTAGAACTATAAGTACAATAGATAAAAAGGGTATTTGAAATGGGAATTGGGGAATAAAGATGTTAATGGTGCTTTTGATGCATAGTAGTCTTAGATTGATAAAGGGTTCAATACAAAAGAAAGAAGAGCAAATACGATAGGATCAATTACAGAGAAATCAGGATTACAATCTGAAAGGAGTTTAGATTAATCAAATGCACATGAACATGTTTGTTGTAATAAATTGGATGATCTTAGTAAACAATATGTATAAATATAATTATTATTCAGTAACTAATAATAAATGAACAAATGAACAAATTGTCTGAATTAAATTATCTCATTTAGTAACATTCTAAATTATTAATTGAATCGTATAATTAAGGATTAGAAGATGCAAAAAATGCTAAGCACAAAGAATAGCAGATATTAGAAAATAATAGATTACTTAGAGAAAGAGATCGATAAATTTAAGAATGGGAAGAGAGATATTAAAAAGAAAAAAAGATTGGAGAAGAAAGAGAAGAGGAGATTAAGTAATTTTAATAAAATCTATTAAAGAGAATTAGAAAATAGGATTAAAGAATTATCAATCAATGTTACAGTAACTACTAATACAGAAGGATTAGAAGAAGAGAAAAATCAATGGAAAAATAAGTTTATTTAATTAAATAAGCAGTTTAATGAGACAGAGTAATAAGTTGTTGTTTTGGAAAATGAAATTGATATGTTGAAACAGCAATAAAAAAAGTCTGAAGTTAAGGTATCTTTTATAATATTATCAATTAGACTACTACTAGAAGAAGAACAATAGCAAAAGAAATATCTTAACCTTGAAAAATTTTGTTATTCAAAATATATAAAATTAATTTTTAATTTTAATAAATAACTATAATAATTCCGTTTTCATTTTATAATGTAATATTTGTCTAACTTATGATCTTAACAAATTTTCAATATTATATCATTTTATGATATATAAAATTCTTTAACTATTCAAATTAGACTTGTTAACTTGATTTAGAACATTTATCTTATGTCTAATATCAATATAAGTCAAAAATATCTTATATGGTTTAAATTAAATTGGTCTAGAAAATGGACTAATCTAGTTATTTAAATAAGTAATAATATATCATATAAACAAGATCATATCAAATAATAATAATTTGAAATAATGCTTTAAATTTGATAAGATTTTTTAACAATCATGAATCATCATTTACACAATCTGTAATAGAATATATATATAAAAATAATAACTGGAGATAAGATGATAGGGGAAATCAAAAAAGAGATTAAAAAATAAATTTAGATATTTATATTAATATACATAAATCCAGAGAGATTGAATGAATCTTGTGTATAAGAGTTTAAATTAAATTTAGGATAAAAATCTTTGAGTAACAAGTATCAACATTTAATAAAGATTTACAATGAAAGAGCAGAGATATTAAAAAGATTAGAGAATATATTGTAGTATCTAGGTAGATTAAGAAGGAGAGAGTTAAGTATAAATAAGTAGGTAATAATTATTTTAGTTTTGATTATTAAGTAATAATTATTTATATGTTTATAAATGAAATTAATATAATTCACTTTATAAGAAAGGATCGATTTAATGAAGATCTTCTTCTGAAATCTTTTTCATAATAGTATTCATCAAAAACATTAAGGTTTTAAGAAATTAAGAAGCCTGTTTGATTGATTATGATTTAATTTTCTTGATCTTCAAATTGAATTTGAGAAATATCGAAATTATCATTATGGAGAGGTACATATGGTGGTTGTAAAGTTTTATTAATTAATTTATCCCAAGGATAATCTTTAAGCCATGGATGATTTTTTACATCAATTAATCTATTAGATGGTTTTCTTTAAATCAATTTATTAATAAAATCAACGGCTTCTAAAGACCAACCTTCTAATTTTAATTTAATTGAAGCTTATTTAGATAGAATAGCATCTCTTATTTCTTTTCTATTTTAACCATAATAAGGTCTTTTTCCAAGCATTAATTCATATGCTATTACACCTAATGAATAATAATCAGCTGGTATGCCATGTTCTAATCCACACATAACTTCTGGAGCCATATAACCTGGTGTTCCACTTGTATCTATTTGCAACGTATCTAATTTTCTTGCAACCCCTAAATCAGTTATTCTTAAATATCCTTTAGAATCCAAAACTAAATTTTCTGGCTTCAGATCCCTATGAATAATACGATGAGAATGTAAATATTCCAAACCCACAATTACACAACAAATAAAGAACTCTGATATTGGTCATATTATACTTGTTTATTCTTCATTAAATCTTCTATTACGACCTAAATGATATCTTAAATCTCCTCCTTATAAATAATCCAATACTAAATATATATTCTATTTATCTTAAAAAGCTGCAACAGCATTTACAATAAATTAATGATTGAAATTTTATAATAATCTTAATTCATTAATAACAGATGCCACACTTCGTTTATATAATACTAAAGCTTTACTCATTTCTTTCATTGCATAATATTTCTATTTATAGATCACTTTCCAAACTCTTCCAAATCCACCAATCCCTATTATATACTACAATTAAAAGTGTTTTCTGCTTAAACTAGGAATTATAGTTTATTTTGTTGATAACTACTTTGTATTTTATTCAAATGAGTTATGCCTAGAATTTAAAACAAATCTGATTGGTGACATATTTATTACTTTTTTCTCATTTGAATTATTTCTTGTCTAATATTCTGCTTTACAAAGTACTCTTCCTAAAGAAGATCCTGGTTTTTAATTTCTATAGGGAGATGTATGCTTTCGCATCTTTATTTACTTATAAGTTTTTTTACAAATATTTTTAATCAATTTTTTATGAAAACCTACGATAAAATCAATTTTAAATAAAGTAAATTTATTGAATAATCTCTTACTATTTTAATAATATTATTATGGTATTTCTTACTTATAATCAAGGTACCTTATAATAAAAACAATAAATTATATATATATATATTAATTTATAATAAAATTATTATGAATTAGTATGGATTGACGGAAAAATTATCAGAAGAATAAAAAAGAAAATTACATGAATTACATCTCATTCAATAAAGAGAATTATCTGAATTAATAAGAAGACATTAAGAAGAATAATTATTGATATTTGAATAATGGAAGAAAGAAGAATAAGAGTCTCAAAATTAATCAAAAATTTTTTCTATTAAAGATGATAAAAATTCTATATTAAATTACAAACCATATACCTTAAGTTAATATAAACTATTGAAATTATAACCAATATTAAAAAATCCTGGTTAAGGATTGGGTCCAACATTATCAATAGAGAAATGGTAGAAATAAAAGGATAAAATGGATAGAATGCTTGAATTTGCAGAACATGTATTAACTTCAAAGATATTTAAAGGTTAAAGTAGAGCATAGATAATTTAAATAAAGAATTCCAAAAAGTGAACCAAAACAAGTAACTGTTAGATAAAAAGGTTTAGAATTTGCAAGGAATATTTTAAAACCAATTGCACCTTCTCCAATGAGAAAAAAATCAATATCGAAAAATTCAGTTGAAAATGATGAATTAATTGAATATGAAATGAGAAATTAATTATTAAAAGAATAGATAGGTAAAATGAAATGACTACTTTTCTTTTATTTTGATATTTTATATAAATTAAATAACAATATTGTATACACTACAAATGAAGTGTGTTTTTTTTGTTGTAAATAAAATTCATATGAATGGTCTTTTTTCTCCTGGTTTTGTAATGAATTCTCTTTTTTTTGTAGCTTTATCAAATGCTGAATTTTATTCATATCTTCCTGGTCCAGGTGTAAAACTTAGAGATTTAAATGGATTCTTTTTTTCTCCAATTCCTTAAGAGATTTTCTTATTTTGATTATAAAAAAAGTATTACTGAAAATCTATTAGGAACAGTCAATGATATTTAAGGTTAATATGTTTCCGGTCCAGGAACACCATTCTCTCTTTGATCATTAAACATTTTACCCTTACCCTTTAATTAAAATTAATATCTATGTTATCCAAGATCTTATCTTACATTGTATTCCCCAGGACCTTAAATTAATATAAAATATACCTGGTAAAAATTTAGCTACTTCTGGAGCTTAATGTTTATTATATGGTAAATATGTTTTTGAATATGCTTCCCAAGACAATCCGAATGATCTCTTTAATTAATCTATTCCAGGTTCTTATCTCACTTAATATCTATCAGGACTTGGAAATTCTTTTGCATTCACTTTTTACCATTCATATTGAAATACCTTCTTATTACCAAATCCTTATTGTGTATATCTAAATACAATATTCATCTATTTTATATTTACAACCTTTTTCCTAATTATGATGGTAATTCCAATTTTGTAGGTAATTAAAATTAAGATTAAGTATGAAATCTATTTGCCTTTGGAAATGATATCTGGGCAGCTGTATGTCTCAATGTACTCGATGAGATATTTGTACTCAATCCAACCGTGTTTAAAAACAATGTATTTGTACTAAAAAACTGCTGACTACTTGTATTTGTTTCTCCAGGTTCGGTAATTACTCATAATAAATGCTTAACTTCCTACCTTTATGTTATTATTCCATTAAATTAATTATATAATTATCATGACAAAATAAAACATAATTTTTGTTTATAAATAAAATTTTATGAGTCAGTTGAAATTTGTAAGATCGAAGAGTACCATTAAATCAAATCCTTTAGGAAGACTACAATAAAAATTAAAATAAGTTTAAAAACCAGGGAAACTTCATGTTAGTGTTGGAAGAAGTAGATAATCTTCATAAAACAACGAAGAATTCCCTATCTCTACTCCAAAACATAAGTTAGATTTAAAACCATTTAAATTACATCAGATTAATGAAAATACTGTTCCATTATCAAAATCTGATGGATGGCATTCATTGCTTCCATTATCTCATCATACAAAATTAATCAACGATTCAAACAAACTTTAAAACTCTTCTTAATCAAGTTTAAATTATGAAAATATATACAATAAATAACACTATTATACTCAAACAAACTATTGTTCACCTAAATTAAGTGAATGTACAAAATACCATAAATTTGATACATTTTAATTCAAGTCAAATAAACTAAATTTATCTGATTAATAATCATCTTCAGATTATTTTTCAAATACTACATCGAAATTTAATTCCAATCAATTCCTACTCAAATCAAGTCAAATAATTAATTAATAATGGAATTCAGACTATGAATAATCTAAATTAGATAGCATAACCAATTTTAATATACATAATAAATGTTTTAATGAAAATTATATATCCAGTCATGAATAAATTAAAATTTCATCACAAAATGAAAATCGAGAATCAAATATATAAGACATATACTCTACTATTTCAAAAAAGAATTAAGTTACTACAAAACCTATAATAGAACAAAATGAAGATGATGAACTTTTAGCATAGAAATGTAGTACCGCAGCTTCATAAAGATTAGTGCCAAAGTTTTATAGTGAAATTTTAACTGAAAAATCACTTATTCTTAATGTACCTAAAATGTTTAAGGAAACTGAAATTTAAACAAGTTTTACATAGAATCAATAAACTGATTTGGTTGAATCTTAAAAATCAAAAGTAACTTGTAAATCTTCTACTAATGTATCAGTATAAACAAAATCAAAAACTAAGAAATTAGGTTTATATCAATATCACCTTTCATATTTATCACCTAAGGTTAATAAAAATTTCATAGAAGCTGATTTATTGTCATACGATGACTTTAAATCTTAAATTATTTGCAGCAATTAAAATAATATTCAAAATAAAAATGAACCTTATAAATTAAGAGAAGAGATTGATTTTAATAATAGGTAATATATTCTCCTAATCAAAGGTCATAAATTTTGGGCTAATAAAATAATATATACTTGACAAAAGAATTAATTTTAGATCCTTAAGATGATACACAACCTTTTTATCTTTAAGCTGAACCAAAAGAAATTAATCCAAATCTATTGGATAAAAATTACAATAATAAATTAAATATTTCCAAAGAATTTACTTAAAACAGTTGTACCAGCATTTCTAAAAGCAAAATAGATAAATGTGCATCATTTTAAAGTATAAAGAGTTACAAAGACCATTTAAATATCTTACTAAATTAAACTTCTTAAACTAATTGTAAAAATGATTAAAATTAACCTTATATAGTTTAATAAAATAAAACTAATACAACTAATAAGTAAAAATATCCACTTAGACACTAATAAAGCAATAAAAATATCACTTAATAATAAAAATCAAAATAATTTAAAAAAAAATGAATATATATAGAACTTATTTTATCAATATATTAAATTTAAATTAATTTCTAAATTTATATCTTATTTTAATTTTAAGCTATGATGTAATTTCTAATAATAGCTATTACATTTAATTAAGTTACTTTTATATGGCTTCTTAATACCATTCATGTAATTTATTAATTTTATCTAAACTTTATTATTCAATCTGATTAGCCTTTGTAATCAATCTTTCCATAACATATTGTAGATCTTAACATTCTTGAAATAGTCTGCTAATAAACTATATCATCAATATTATTTCAGCTTCTGGTTTTATCTCTTAAATATTTATCAATCCTACTTAATTAATAAGTCCTTTATTTAATAAGTTATAATTTGTTGTTAATGATTCTTAAGATCATCCTTATTTTTAAAGCCTTTTTTAATTTAAGTATCGATTGTTTAATTACTAAGTAAATAGAAATAGTTTCTTAAGTTCAATGCCAATAAGAAAATGAGAACTATTTGATCTTGAAATATCTAAATTCAAATTGCCTCTCATATGTAATTTATAATATTTACATATATATATATATATAATTAATTAATTATTCAAAAGTTGATATCTTCAACATCAATCTAATCATCAATAAATGCATCTGATATATCTTTTGGATGATTTTTGTTGACTTATTTCTTCTTAAACTCCCACTATTTTGATCCACTTGTTATTTTATCATTTTTATCTAATCTTTATAAATAAACTTTTTCTAATTATTATTTTTTTGTCTCTTTGTTCATCTAATAATTCTTTGTAAAATCTACTTAAGCCTATCCAGCATAAGATTATTCATCATTATTCTCATCACCAAACTCAAAATCTAAAGGTTTTATTTTTGCCTATCTATAATGTTGTTGTGTCTTACTATGACTTTGTACATGAATCTAAAAATCTTATCCCTATTATTCATCTTCAAATCTTTAATTTAATGAATTAAATTCTGAAGGAGATATCTAATTCTCACCCCAATCTTAATCAGACATTGTATGAATTGAATCATTAGAATCAAATATATTCTTTATTTAAGATTCTCTTTCCTATTTCTCTTTTTTTATTTACTCGCTCATTGTCTTCTTATGTCGATTCTCCACTTTCATCTTATATGGCTTAGGCTTTATTTATTAGATTTATATTTAATCTTAAAATATCTCTTAATCCTCTTCTTCTATTGCTCTGCTATCCATTAAAATTTAAATCTTATTCTAATCCTTTGATTCCTCTGTATTAAATTATGGTTATTAATCTGGAACACCAATTTATAATTAAAAATTATCAATCTCATCTTCTTAATAACTCTGATGTGAAGGTTCTTTTAAATCATTTATTTTTATTTTTGGTCTAAATTAATTAGAAGGAATCGAAGGATAATCATCAATGTTTTGCTTATTGATTTCATTAAAATCATCACTTTATGCTTTATTTGCTTTTTAAATAGATGATAAATTATCTTATTATTATTATTATTATTACTATTATTATTATTATTGTTATTATTACTATTATTATTGTTATTATTATTATTGTTATTCTATTTCCTTATATTAATATACAAATGATTAAGATAATGGTTTTTCTTAAATAGAAACTTATTATGTAAATTATCCTTACTATGCTTTGTTTGTCTCTATACTAAAAGAATCTCGACTAATAGATTTATGTGATAATGAGATTGCTCTATTTTATTCATTAGCAAATTAAGCTGATTTGGCAAGTTATTATGATTAAACTTATGAATATTCTAATGATTATATTATTTCTTTTTTAGATTATGATGATTTACGATTCGATTATTGATTATTATCTCCTTAAATATTTAACATTTCCGATTAATTCTTTTTGATAGAAATTTCAGCTTTTTCAACTTATAAATTAATTTATTAAGAATCATTTTCATTATCATTTTCAAATGTAGTAATGATATTAAAATGATCAGGAGGATAATCTTAAACTTTTTATAACTATAAAACTTTTTATTATTTTGATGGACTCTTATTCTTTTCCTCATCAAATATCGATAATTAACTGTTTTCATGAGGTTCTTCGGAATCGTCAATTTAACTTATATCCTTTAAGTGACTTTAACTTTATTCATTAAAAGTATTCTAACAATGTTAACTAGTTTAAGATTTGATAGAACTGAAATTGTCAGATCCTGGAGAAGCATAAGGAGGTTCATCGTCAGGATTCTCTTAATTATTATTTTATATATTCTTATAGTAAACAGTATGTTTTAAATTAGAAGGCACTATCTATTTTTATTATTTTTATGGAAATTATTAGGACCTTTGACTATCTTATTAAAATACTGGATTAGAATTCTTATCACTCAAAATTATACTAATCCCATTTAAATTACATGATTATTCTTATGATTGTTCATGTGATTTCTATTTAGTAATATCATTTTCTTAATTTACGGCCTAAGCATCTAAATCTGAGATATCTATTTTTTATTCAAATTATGATTTCTAATCAAAGGGATGTTGAAAGTATCCCGAAATTTCATGTTTCTCAAAATTTTATTTAGATTCATTCAAATAATAATTTTAAACAAATTCATCAAAAAATTATTCCCCTTTCTAAGTTTCCCAAATCAACAATAAAATGTTGCAAAAAGTAACAATAAGTGAATCAATAGCACTTATAAAAGTCTAACTATTAAGTGAAGACTCATTATATGCAATCAGAGCACAACTTATGATTATTGGTATATTAACAAATGTAATGTATAATCCATTTAAGCAATTAAAAGAAAAAAATGGTTTGATGTCAATCATTTTAGCTTTAAAAAAGGAGAAACCAAAATATCGACTCATAATAAGTTTATATAATGGAAATGCTAACAAGATAGAAAATGAAATCAAGATATAATTGGTAACTTTATTTTTAATTTAAGAAGCTTACCATCTAATGAAATCTTAATCAATCCAAATTTTGGAATAAACCAAAATAAAGTGAACAATATTAAATATGAGATTAAGTACAATTCCTACAGCTAGTATCCAAAAGTAATACATATCTAAGTATTCATAATAATTATGTAATAAAAACAAAAGAGTTAACCATGATGATAATATAAGAGGAGCATTCAATCCTAAAATAGATCCTGGCATGTATGTTTCACTTTTGTATTACTTTGATACTAAAACAGAGATTGTAAAAAATGTGAATAATATAACATGTGGAACTGGAATATATCTATTAGGTCCTAAGTTATTAATAACTTATTCAGGTATTAATTCACAAAGTAATCCTTTAGGTTGATAATTATTTGGACATTCTTCTTTGCAAACACCTTAAATCAAATAACGAATATTTGATGATTAATTACATTGAGTACAATTCGTTAATGAAGTGCATTAAGTACAAGAACTTGGACATTATACACATTTTCCACTTGTAAGATCAGAGAAATAAGAATCTGAACATTTAGAGACACAAATAGTTCCATCTAAAAATAATGGTGTATCTCCTTAAACTAAACATGATGTACATGTTTATGAATTATCTTTGCATGTAAGACAATTTTATGAACATTAAAAACATTCTTGATTTATAGAATAATAGTTTGATTCACATTATTACACACAATTAAAATTAGAAAAATAATATGGTTTGACACAAGATAGGCAAATTTGTTTTTGATCTTTCAATTCACAAGTTTAACAATTTTAATTACATTTTAAACAAGAGTTTTGAGAAATATCTACATAATATTATTCTTCACATGTTAATACACATGATTATTATTTTAAAAGGAATCCATCTGAACATTTTACACAAGTAGTTTCATTAGAACATTAATTACATCCTGGAATACATGGTTTACATTGCATAGCTTCTTCATATATAAAATAACCAGAAGGACAATCTGCTCTGCATGTTCCTAATGAAAAATATTAACCTGGTTGACATTCAGTACATTAATCATTCTAAATACAACTTATACAAGTAGCTGGACATAATTCGCATACTAGAATCTTATTTGAGTTATATGATTAATAATATCCTTTTGGACATCCATTTTTATAACATTTAAAATCATATAAAGGTATATTTGGTTAACATTTAGAACAATATGATGAATTCATTGAACATAAAATGCATTCACTATCGCATTTTTCACATTTGTCTATTATTGTTAATGGTAAATAATAAGTATCTCCACATTTATCAAGACATATACTATCTTAATACTTATAATTAGCAAAACATTTATCGCAAGTTAGAATATTATTTATTGGTTAACAACTTTAACAATTTTTAGGACATTATTAACATGAAAATTCTAGTTCATTTTAATAATATCCATCTCCACAGTTATCTACACAAGTAGTGGATTTCATATAAATGAATTTAGATACTATAGATGTATAGCAAGTTTAACATTAAATATTATCAGGTGTTATAATTGTACAAGTTTTACAATTATTCGATTCTGGGCAAAGTATATTAAATTAGAAAGCTCCATTAAGTGAACTATCAACTAAATAAAGAGAATTGTCAATCTTTCTATAAGTCTTAATAGTAAATGTTCTTGGTTATTATTCGTTTTGAGGAGTTTAGATTCCATTCACTATTACATTATATTGTAATTGATTGGAGTCAAATGGTCCAGTTAAAACTAGGATATTATTAGATTAAACATTACAATCCAATTTGTTATTGGATGTATCTTTACATGAATAACCTGAGGAAGGAAGATTAAATGGAAAGAATATATTAATTTAATAACTACCTTCAGCCAATCGATTTTGTAAAGCAAAATTAAATTAATAGACTGCACTTGTAGCTCCATAATACTATTAATCAACTTGCAATGAAGTTTATGTAATATCACCAAATTATGTATTACTAATAAAGGGTCCTTATTAATAGCTCATAAACCCATTTAGGGACTAAGTTGAAAATTCGAAATCTTAACTTTTTGTCATTGTATCCTTGCATTTGATAGTAGAAACAGTTAACTTTAATGTTGTTGGTAATAAGACTGAGTCTGTACTTTCAATTAATACATCTAATTAATTAGATGATATTTTAGTGCAAGTTTTGATGGCAGCTCCTTCAAGTTAACATGATGGATTATTATTAATAGTTAAATCACCAACTTTAACTGTCATTTAAATAGGATAAAATTAAGGAGTTTTAATTTTAATAGTAAAATAAAATGTATTGGATTATCCATTTTTAAAAGGTTGATTTGATTCAATAATTACTAATCCATCAAATGATGATCTAGTATTAACTGAATATCCTTAGACATTTGATATGGTGTCTATAATAGTATTGAATTAATCATAAGTAGAAAATTTAAAATTATTGGTTAAACTAGTATCAAATGGATTTCTGATAGGGATAGATATAGAATTAATAGTAAATAATTTGGAATTGTCAATAGAATTAGTAAATTTAAATTCTAATACTTAATCTGAAATAGTTAGAATTTGACAACCATATTCATTATCAGTATTACAAGTTTATGTATTTTGATTGATAAATTTGATTTCTTATGGGATTTCCATTTTTAATATTCCTAAAGGTGGAATATTATTTTTGGGTGTGATTTTTAAAATGAAAAATGAATAATCCCCAACAATATCTGAATTTGATCCTTATCTTTCATATTAAACATTCAAGTTTCCAGGTGTGAATGAAGGTGATGAATATAAAAAGTTGATCATTCTATCAACAGAATAACCATTCTACATTGTTTATATATAAGAAATTGTAATAGTAGAAATAGTAGATAATGGATTTAATACATTTTAAATTGCAATATTATGAGTACCAACAGTAGTTAAACATCCACCTATATCAATATATTCTGAAGTGATGATTGGAATAGCTACTTAATTATCACAATAACAAATAAGAGCAGAAGATAATAATGTATTTGCTAAAGCTATTCTAACAAATCCTGCTGAATTCAATGCATTTTTGATTGTTATACTAAATGTATATTTTGTATAAATGTTAATCTCAGTTGAATCAATCTTTAAACTAGCTGATAATTAATCATTTTAAACTGAAATTGTTGGAAAAACTATCTAATATTACAATACATCATTAGAATCCTTGAAATCAATCTAAGATTAAATAGGTTAAGTATTTCCCATTACTTTTAATGATTCCATATATAATTTAATTGAAACATCCTTAATTGCAATTTATTGAGGCATTTAAGCTTTAATCAAATTTGGAGTACTCACAGTTAGTGATTCTAATAAACCAATTGATGTTGCTGATACATAACCTTTCACTGTTGATGTTGTTACAAACTCTCCATTGCTTAATATTGAAATCTCAATTCTTGGATTTTAATTAAAAGAAATGGGTAATACTATATTTTCCCAAATCATTTATAATTTATCTGTATTTGGATATAAACCACTTGTTGAATTAGATGAAAATGCAACTGAACCCCCATATGGTTAAAAACTCTTTATTTGAATGTTATCACATGATTAAGAAGCAAATTATATATTGAAATTTCCTATCTATTTATTTGTATGTGGTCCTCTTACATTTATACATCGAATTATCATATTACCTGCTATTAATGGACATGTAAACTTTTGACTCTACTATGTACATCCTATATTTAATGAAGTCTTTATAATCTTTAATATTATTACTTCTCGACAAGTAGTGCTTCCACTTATTAAAGGTTATATAGATGGTGATCCATTCCAAAAAGTTGGAAATGTTAAATCCACATTACCATCACTTGTGATTGTAAATTCAAATTACACAGACCCATCTATTTTATATGCAAAACTATTTAACGCTGTTCCCTTTATTGTTGAACAATCCAATGCTACAATTATTAACATATCTATTTTACTTGCTAAGGCAACATTCAAAATTTGAATTATGAATATTGAAATATACATTTATATAATAATTTTATTAAATTATTTAAAACATCTTTTACAAACTTTCTAAAAACTAATATTCTTTTTTTTTTCATTCTATTTTTATATTAATCTAAATCAATTTTATCGATCATCTCAGTTTTTTACTTAAAACGACAAACCTAAATCAAAAAGAACAGAAATTTCATCCATTTATTGACCTACCTCCACAAATGAATTAACACTTTACGAACTAATAGTTATTTTTAATCGAAAAAGGTATTTTCATAGTTTTTATTATTTAAAAAAAATTAGAGACTTATTGAAAATTTTTAAAGATTAATTTTTTTGCATATCAGTAATCTGGATTATCTATTAAAATTACAATATTCAAGAATTACTCATATTTAATCATTGTATTCAATTTTTTGATATAGTTTTAATATGAAGTGAACAAATATACAAGATTGAAACAAATTATGATAATAAAATCATCTTTATTTTCAAGGTTAGGTAACAACTGAGATCGATCCTTATAAAAGATGTTTTTAAAGAGTCGAATTCACCTCAATAGGACAGTCAGTTGCTCGAAATTATAGATAAAGTGCTTAATTATCAAAAGTAACCTTTTTTAATCTTTTTTTTGAACTTATATCAACAGGTGACAAAAGTGTTTGATGATGGATGTCACCTCTAACACCTAATATCTAATTAAACTTTATTTTCTTAGACATCTTTTAATTTATTTAAAAAAAAGAATGAAAGAAAATCAGTTTTAATTAGTTTATTATCCTGATTGAATGATTTACAAAAATACAAATCATTATTGATATATAATTCTAATCCAATTCATATATATAATCATATAAATAATTTTTTATAAATTAATTTTAAATGGGAAATTAAACAACACGTGAAATTAGAGAAAAAATTGAGTAATTTAAAGAAGATTCAGAAAAAAAAGAAATTGATTGGATTATCCACAACTAAAATGAAGTTTATGAATAAATGTTGATTTTATCAAGATACTTTTCATTGCAAAAACTGCAATTAAATTTCATTGATCCTAACATTGAAGATATTACTCCATTAAAAGATGCTATCTAAGGTAGTGAAATATTTGAAATACTTAAAATCTAAGCATAGTATACATTTATTTATAATTTTTCTTAGGAATACAAAAATTTATGATGCCAATATAATTGCATCTCATATAACAACATTAACAAGATTTCATTTAGATTTATCAAACACTCAAATTTCAGATATTTCAAATGTTATACAAATTTTAAATTAAAATATTAATTTAGAATCAATCTATCTGAACTTTAATAACACTCATTTAACATCAATCAAATTATTTGATGTTCATTTATTTACTTAACTCAAATCCTTAACATTCTTTGCAGGGTAATATTATTATTATATTGATTTAGACAAACATAATTACAAAGTATTGAACAATTCATGCTCAATTTATCTAAATTATAGAATCTAGAAGAATTACATTTAGATATCTCAGGAACTCAAATATCTGATTTAGCTCCAATTGGATCTGCAATAAGAAAATTAAATAAACTTCTTCAATTAACCATCAAATTAGATAATTTAAACTTAGAAAATATCTTTGAGTTGATGTAAGGTATCAGTTATTGTATTAACCTTTGTTAATTTACTATAACTTTAAATAATACAAATCTAACTAATATAGATTAGCTTGGTGATTTGTTAAAATAACTTTAAAATTTAGAATATCTAAATGTACAATTTAGAAACACAAAAGTTACTCAAGCTGATAATTTATTCTAAAAAATTGGTTATTTAACAGGCTTGAAATCCTTGTCTCTAAATTTTAAAGATACATCTATCAACAGTCTTTCATTACATAGGACTTTAGACACTTTATAGAAAATTTAACATCTAAGAATCTCTGCTAATAAAACATTTGATTAAAGTGTCCTTGAAACAATTCCATAATAAGAATAAATGAAAAGCTTAATTTTAGATTTGAATGATACTAATATTACTTCTCTTAATAAATTAATGGATCAATTAGGAGATTTAAAGATTATGAGATTTTTATAAATTCTTATTTCTAATACATAAGTAGAAGAATTGAATTGTAGCAACTTAAGCAAATTATAAAATTTAAGAACTTTATAAATTGATATATCGTATTTTTATACATTATAAATTATAGTAAAACACCTATGTAGAGAATTATTGGTTTGGAGGAAGAGTTGGGAAAGATTATATTCTTGAATCAATTTATATTTGAAGCAACAGATACAAAATACCACAATAATGAATATTAGGAAAAGATTAAATAAGAATTGAAAAAATTAAAATATTTGAAAGAGTTTCATTTATGATGAATATAAAAATTATTATCAAGAAGATTAATATAATGATTCATTTTAGATTCAGTTTTATTTTAATTTGAAAATATCTGTGTATTTTAAGTTGAATCCAAAAACATTGATCAATTATTTATTTTTACATGAATCCATTTCAATAGTTTACCACACTACCATAACTTCCCTATTTACAATAATTGTAATAACTTCAACAGCTACAAGTAAATTATAATATTCTAATCCATAGTATTTTCAATTACTATGTGCACTCTAAAACAATGTTGCCAATCAACCAAACCTATAAATTCAATCACTCAATCCTCTATATCAATTATCTCTTCTTTCTTAATCATCTCAAAGAACAATACCGATAGTATAATAACCTGACATTCGTACAAAGAAAAGTCAATCAGAAAGAGTTTTACCAAAGCAAAAGAAAGAGAATGAAATTCTAAAATAATTTACTTAAGATGAAATACTTTAAGAACTCAAATAATTATTAGAATATCTATGTAAGGAAGAAATTAAGGAATTGGAGGAGAATGAGAAAATTAAATATAAAGTATATAAAAATTTAGATATAATATTATTTAGATATTGACTAGAATAGATGACGGATTAGTAGAATCACTCATTAATCGTTATCAAAATTAAAAAAAGACTAAAGAAGAATAAATAAAATTTATTCTCAGAAAATGCTTTAAATTTTTGAAATAAAAGATGAACTTAAATGAATTGACAATGAGCGCATATGAAATTGAGAAAGTCTTCTATAAAGAATATTTTGCTTCCAATGAAAATATTGAAGAATTAATTCCATTTAGATCTGAGTCTTCTAACAAAACTATGAATACTTCCTATTTAAAGAAAATATTTTCATCAGAAAAATTTTATGAAGGATACCTCTCTTATCTTTGTAATTATATTATAATATATTATATAGAACATTTTGATGAAATATGGGATCAAGAAAATAACGAAAAAATTTAAAATATGGCTAAATAAGTTTTAAAGTTTATAGCATCTGGTTAGATTGATGTAATAATATGAATTAATTTCTTTTAGAAAATTTCAACTTACAAAAGAGTTCCTTGGGTATAATCAATGAAATAACGTTGTTATGAATTGGCTGTTTCGTTTAAAGCTTATCATGAATAAGAGGAAAACTGTAAAAAAGTAAAATAAGAATGAAAATATTGATATAATTCAAAAATACAACAAAACAACCCTTTAAAAAAATTTTATTTTATAATTAAATTCTTGAAAAATTTTGTTCTATCTTATTAAAGAAAAAGTTTCAAAGGATAATTGAAAATAAATTATTATTAATTTTAAATATATCATTCTTACTTGTTTTTATATAAGATTCTTAAATAGAATATTGATTGTAATTACTTTTAAATAAAATTAAATTGATCAAATATTAGCAATAATTTAAATTACCATAGTTTTAATTTGACTTTTAGAAAACCAAAGTTTTTTGATATTTATCATCTCTTATGTTTTAAGGATTTATTAATCGAGACTTTGATTTGATTAAGATCGATAGTACAGTAAATAAATTGTTACTGTTAATTATTAAACATTATATGATTAATAATATTAATCTTACTAATTGATATCAACATCTAATTAAGTACTAGCACTACTAATATCATATAGTAATACATTACTTTTAATTAATTTAACTTATCAATATTGTTACTAACAAATTAACCTTTCAAATTTTTTACTGACAACAACAATTAAGCATCATAACTTTTAGTTTACAATTTATTCCATCTTTTCCACTAATAATTCATTTCAATTTTAAACTTTAAAATCTATATTCACTCTCCTTACAAATGTTTATAATTTCTTCAATATAATCATATTATTGATTCCAAGTAATAATTCTCATGTTTGATAAAATAGGTGTTCTGTTTGTGATTTCCTCTACAGCATACTCATTCTGAAAAATTTCGATGTATTTTCTAAACCCAGAAATATTATCAAACCTTGATATTCTCGGCAACTTTTATGAATATTTTTTTACACTTTTTCTATTATATCTATCCCATATGAGAATGTAATTTTATTGAACTATATATATAGATAATAAATTAAATATAAAAAATATGTATCAAAATATAATCCAACGATATTGAATATTAAAATATAATTAAAAATTACTTTGAATTAAGATTAATTAAAATATTCTTGATTTATTTATTTTTACTCTTTATTATAAGTAATAATTAGAATGATATAATTTAATTATGCTATATACCTTATCTAAAAACAACTGATTATATTTATTATATATTTTAGGAATGTAGATGAAAAGAATAGTTTTAATAACAGGTGCCAATAGAGGATTAGGATTAAAACTTGCTGAAGTACTTGCAGAGAAATACTCTTTGATATTAACTGCTAGAAAAGTAGAGGAATTAGAGAAGATTAAAATAAATTTAGAAAAGAAATTCTAAAATGTTGAAATCCGTACTCATCAATTGGATATAAGCAAAAAAGATAGTGTATCTAAGTTAAAAGATTGGTTGATTAAAGAATAATTAAAGATAGATGTACTTGTGAATAATGCTGGAGTAATTGAAAATCCAAGATTAATAATTGATATTAATGTAATAGGAACTATTGATGTAAGTGAATAATTGTTACCAACATTGACAGATGATGGAAAGGTAGATTATTCATTGATTAAATTAAGATTCTTTTAGTATCATCTATTTTAGGAAAATTGAATAATTAACCAAAAGAATTAAAAGAGTAATTATAGTATAAAAAAACAAAGGAAGAAATTATTGAACTTTCTGAATAATTTATTAAATCAAATGATAATAGTCGTATAGTGTATTCAGCATCTAAAGCATTATTAAATGCATATGGTAGATATGTTTTGAGTGGATTAGTTAAACCGAATTAATCAATATTTTGTATGCATCCAGGATGGTAAGAATAATTCATATTAAAAATAATAGGATTAAAACTGATATGGGAGGACCATATGCTCCAGGTAATCTAGATGATGGAGTAGTTACTAGTCAATTTTTAATCAACAATCTTCCTTTTTAGAGAAATGATAAGTACCATGCCAAATATTTCAATGATAAAGCTAAAGTTGAAGATTTCTGATAGAAAATATATATTATATTCAAAATATAATGATTTTATGATCATTACAATATGAAAATCCAATAAGAACAAATCTATAATATACATGATTTGAATCATTTTATTACTGGCACTTAATTGATTGTCATGCATTTAGTACATTTAATTTAATTGTATTTGCCTTCAAAAATAATATTGCTTCTAAATATTATTGAATAGATTGTATTACTGACAGTTGTAGCATTTCATCACTTTTTTACCTTTAAACCATGGTTGAGTAGCTATTTAAATAGTTCCATTAGGATTCATTAAAATAATTGTCTGAAGTGGAATATCCATTAAAGAAATTAAAAAAATAATAATGGATTATGTCTATTTCCAATGAGTTTTTTATTTAATTAAATCTTTTATTAAAAAATTCAATGGCAAGAGGTACTCCAGCAATCGGTAAGAGACATTAAAAGACTCATACTTTTTGTAAAAGATGTGGAAGATAGACTTTCCATATTTAAAAAAATAGATGTGCATCATGTGGATATCCAGCTGCAAGATTAAGACTTTGTAAATAAATAAATTTTATTTTAGATAGTGGATGGGGAGAGAAAGTCGCCAGAAGAAGATCAACAGGAACAGGAAGAATGAGATATTTGAAATCTATTGCTAGAAGAGCTAAGAATGGTTTCAGAGCAGGAACATAAGCTTAACCAAAAGTTAAAAATACATAAAAAAAGTGATTTAAATCAATGCTTAATAACATAGTACATTAATCTGTTATCTTTAATAAGACTTCTCATCATATTCCTATATTCAAACCTTAATTTTAATTTTAACTAATGAAATTTAATATCTATATAATCAACAGTATTTTTAATCTGGCACATCAATAAGAAAAATGAATACACATCCTAAGAATAACAAAATGCCAATTAAAGCTTTCTGTTTTTAGTACCATATAATTCCTACAAAAAATCCCCCAAAATGAGCAGAATAATCAACATGAGTATGAGGTTCAAATATCAATAGTACTTATATACAAAGTACAATTAATATTCCGTAATACTTTTCTTATGGTTATTTAGTTTTAATCAAATATGCTAATTAATATCCAAAGAAACCAAAAATAGCTCCACTTGCTCCAACTCCAGTGGCTTTTGGAAAATAAAGTGCACTAGCAATATTTCCACCAATTCCAGCTAAAAAATAAAGTTATAAGAAATCTAATGTTCCGTTTTTATTTTCATATGAATAACACAATAATAATTAACTAAGCAAATTAGTTAATAGATGACCATTTCCTCCATGTAAAAAAATAGGATTAAATAATCTATGTAAATGATAATGATATTTAATTGCAGGAGTATGTTTTGATCCAGCATAATATAAAATGCAAAAGTGTGAAATCCCTTTGATTACCATAATGACTGCTTAGATTGTTATTTATATCATTGATATGATGATTGTAGCATTTATTCTAAATTCTTTTTTTTGTCTATTGTTAAAATAATCATCATCATAATATAACATCATTATTATTTTAAATATAATTATTTAATATGAGTTTAATAGAATTTAGAGAACTTGATTCTATGGATTTTGATGAATAAGGATAAAAGTGTGTAAAATATTTAGATAGTACAAATAAACAAATGTAATGAATTATTTTTATTTCAGTGGATAAGGATAATATTAATAAAGATAAAAATGTGGATAATGGAAGGAAGTAATTGAAGCTTATGGAAAACACTTAATAATAGCAGAAGGAAACTATATTCAAGGTAAAAAAGAAGGAACTTGGATATATACTTTAAATGATGAATAATTGTATAATTAGTCTTTAATAAAATTAGGGGAAAAAAATAGTTTAAATAAGATAAAGAAATTGGATGTTCCTTTTGTTATATAATTTTTTAATAACCTAATATATCTGATGATATTTGGTGTTTAATTGATAATTTTTTACTTTTTGAAAATTAAAGAATTACTTAGAGTTTCATCTGTAATTTTAAAATGTTTCTGTAATATTATCAATTTATTTAGATAAAATGGAAATTATTTAATGGGAGGTATAAAAGATGGAAAATGGGTTGAATTAGATTAAAATTCTATTAAATTTGATAACTAAAAAAAAACTTATAATTTTATTTGTTCATAAGGTAAATACGTATAAGGAGTAAAAGAAGAAATTTGGGAATCAACTTTTTATGAAAAGTATGAACATTAAGAAATACTTCATCATGTTTCTAAAGGTAAATATATTTCTGGTAAAAAAAATGGAATTTGGACTGAACCATTAGGTTATAAAGTTAAAGAAAGTGTTTTGACAATTATAGAAGGAGAATATAAAAATGATTTAAAAGTTGGATATTGGAAATTAGAAGAAGGATAAGATGCTTTTGATTAAAATGATTAATATGAATATGGAGGTAATTATAAGAATGGATTATAAATAAATGATTGGAAAGAAGTTAGAATTTTTCAAAATTTTTATGCAGATAAATCCATGTAAATAATAAATTATAAATAAAAAGCTATATTCAAGATAAAGGTCGTTATAATAATAATGGATAAAGATAAAATCAATGGATTTTTGAATCTTCCTAAGAATAAGGTAGTTGCTACTATGAAAATGGAATAATACATGGTGATGCTATACTATTTGATTGTATAGGAAACTACAATATTTATTTGTAATTTTTTATATTGATTTTAGAACTCGATCTAAAGGAAAATTTAATAATGGAAAAAAAGAGGGAAGATGGAAAAAATCAATTTAAGTTGATGAAAGATGGATATTATTGTAATAAAATTATAATATAATTAAGAGAAGTTGGTGAATATTCAAATGATATTAAAGTAGGATAATGGCGAGAAAGCTAATATTTAGATTAATACAGTTTAGAGAGAAATGAAAGAGATAAAGGATAGTATTATTATATTTATTTTAAGAATATTACTTATAAAGTAAGGTAATTATACAAATGAAGGAATAAAATAAGGTGTTTGGAAATGGAGATTCAAATGTTTAACATCTAATTTTAATTAAAATGAAATCTTTAATTTAAGTGGTCAAGAATTACATAATCATAATACAATTTCAGGAAATTAAATATTATTCAATTAATAATTTGGTGAATTTTATGCTAGATGTTAATATTTATATTTAAAATTTAGTCCATTTTTGTGATGTATTTGATGGTGAAATAGTAGATGGATATAGAAATGGTGAATGGAGATTTTCAGCTTTAGAAAATTTACATTAAAATGAAAACAACGAAAAAGATACTGACTCTGAAAATGAACAATAAGAAGAAGAAGAAGATGTAGAGGTAGAAGAAAATAAAAATTAACCAGAAGAAAATGAAGAAGAATAAAATAATTAAAGAGATGAAAATAGTGATAATAATGAAGAAGAATAACTTGATGAAAATGATTAATAAGAATAAGAAATAAATTAATAAGATTTATCAAATATGGTTTATCAGATTTATAAGAAAGGAATACTAATTAATTGATGATGTTATATAATTTAATTTTAATTATTAATTTAATATATTTATGATCATTCCTTGAATTATTAGCTATTTTAATATTTTTTTTACTTTAATTCTTATTCAATTTACCAAGCCTTTTTACGTTTTGGTTTATTTTCAGTTAATAATTCTTTACTTTCTTATGCAAGATATTCTTTTACTTATTCAAAGTTTTTCTTTAAATTTATTTTTGGAAAATGTAATAAACTTACTTACTTGCTGTATTCTTATTATTTATTCTTATTTTCTTTAATCATTTTTTTCTATTCCTCTTTTAGTAAAAACTGATTTTCATTTATCTTTCTATTAGTATATATTTATTATTCTATTTAAATTTAACCATCTTCTAACTCAGTAACTAAAGAAGATGGTTAACCTATTGCTAATTTCTATACACTATAATGACTATACACAGAAGACTTTTCTTTTAACTTTTTTACAAAATTTTCATTTTTTTATTATTCCATCATTGATTCATATCTATTTTATTCTTGTTTTGCAATCTATTCAAGTGCTTACATTCTTTTTTATTTTTGTTTTTCTTATCTATATCTTTAATTATCCAATCTCAAATTTTCTATGTTGTTAGAAATTTTATTAGTTAATTTTTCTAATTATTCTTATCTCTTTTATTCTGCTTCTATTCTATTTTATTACATTTTTTTTATAAAATCTAAAGCCTTTAATTAAGAATCTTTATCTTTATCAATTATCATTCTCTCCCTAAGTCCATTTCTGACTTTCACTTTTTTACGTTTTCTAATTATAACTTACAATTTTTTTATTGGTTAAGTTGAGGATCTCTATTTATTTTAATTTTTTGACTTTTTTTCCTTTTATGGTTAAGAAAATACATTTTATTACTAATTTTCTTATTATAATTCTAGCTTTTCGTAATCTTTTTTAATTTAATCTATCTCTTATTATTTTTTCATTCTTTATAATGTATTTGGAGACATCACTTTTTAATCTTTTGGTTTTTAAGGATTTATTTTATTGTAAAAATCAATTAACTCATTATTAATTGCACTTTTTGTTCTAGGTTTTTTTTCTCCTTTTTATTTATTTTAACTTTTACAATTTCTCTCTTTTAATTAAAATTATTCACTTTCAATTTAAAAACTTTCATTTAATTTTATACTTTTATTGTTTTATATCTTTTTCATTGGATATACAAGACTTATAAGAAATTTCTTAATATTTTAATCTCTTTATAATTTTTCTTACTCCTCTTATTTTTATTTTTTCAATTATTCTTCCTTTTATTTTTCTTCTTCAATTTATTGTTATTCTTTTTACTTATTTTCTTCAATGATTTATTCTTTCTCTAGTACATTCTCTGTATTTATTTATTATTGATTATTTTATTCTTAAATTTCTTATATTTCCATTTTTGTATTTTTTCTTTTAGTAGTCTTTCTTTTTTAATTTTTTCTTTAACTCTAATTTCCTAAATCATTCTCTTCTTGCTTTTTTTCTTATTATTTCTATTCTTTATTTTATAACTATTCTTATTATAATTTTTGTTTTTTCTAAGTTTGATCTTGTAGTTCATTTTCTTATTTGATTTAATTAGTATTAGAAGTATTAGAAAGTTAATTATTCTAATTATTTTATATTGTTTAATAATTGTTTGATTATTATTATTTGCTTGAAACATCTTAATTTAAGTTTTCTTACTCTTTTTTTGGTTATTCTTATTTATCAATAGATTCCTACTCATTGAGATTATCTTTAGTATGCTATTAATCATTGTTCTATAGGTTTTATTATTTAGATACTTCTTATTATTCATTATTTGGAAATTAAGAAGTAACATTTAATTGGTCATTTTATTTTTCAATTTCAGTAGTTTATTATTGGTTTTCTTCAGATTGTTATTTATTTTGAACTTATTCTATATTTTGTTATTATTTATCTTTTAATAAATCACTTTCATTTTATTGATTATTTTCGATTTATTGGAGATCATTTTCATTTTATTACATTTTTAATAAATAATATTAGAAACCAATAAAAATAGGTTTTTCTGATGAATAGAAATAGTATCTAAAAATATCAAAATTTATCAATTATTGATTTCAATTTAATCAGTTTTTTATGAATGCTTTGAATCAAAATGAATGATGGAGCCTTCATTAACATTATTCATCATTTAATTTTCAATAATTTATTAAAAATCTTTTACATTAAATAAAGATCGAATTGGTTTATGTTCAGTTAACTAAATAGTTGAAGTATTTCCTCTAAAATTAATACATAAAATAATATACCTTTAAGTATTAGGACAAGTTCTTCTATGTCCTGAATTACATTAAGAATCCATCTATCTTGCACTACTTTTTTAGCTAGGCAAAGGTAAAGGTTCTTTTGCATGATAACTCTCTCCTTCTTCTACATCTGCTTCTTCTTAATCCCAATCTGCAGCTTATTTTATTATATTAGGTTTTGGAAGAGCACTTTAAAGATTTAAATTAGTTTGTTATAAATAATTTCTAGAAATTATATTAGTATTCAAATTAGTTTAATTTGATGTACCTTCTTATAACTTTTCTTATAATTTATCTTAAGATAATTTCAACTGATTTTTCCTTCTACTTAACACAAAATCATAAGTTGTCATATTCTTACATTTGAAATAGATATGCATCACAAGTAAAAATGTGATAGGAATCATTAATATAATAGTCACTCCTATGTGTACATAACTAAGTATCTTATTAACAAATATTGAAATAATTAGTCCAGTAATTAAATAAAGTTCTAACAGTACGATTAATATAAAGAAATATTTATAATTTCTTAACCCAATACAATTATTTAACCATACACAATGATGATCAAATAGTTCTGTACATCTATTACATTATTTACAATGTTTTGATGGACCTTTCACATATGCTTAACATACTTTACAAAAACAATTCAATTTCGTTTCATATTTGACTCTATCACAATTAATATTATTTTTTACTTCTTTTCTCTTAGTTTATATTAAATATATATCTCTTAATCTGTTGGATCAATTTTTGTTGTAATAAACCAAAATATAGAGTTGATAAAAGAGAAAATCGAAATCAAAATCCAGACTTGATTCTTATAAAATTTGAATTAATATTATTACATAATCTAAGGTTTGAAATAAGATTATGATGAAATGTCCTATGTATAGAATGACAACTCCAATTTGATAATAATTAATTCCTGTTTTACACTGAAATCCATGTCTATTCACTATATTTTAATTACTTTAATTCATAATTAATAATATATATCATAATCCAACAAAATGGTTATTGGTTCACTCAATTAGGCTTTATTTAAAAGTTTTAATGTTTTTTAGAAGGTGACTGGCCAATATTATGAACTTGCTTTTTATTAAGGTAATAAGTCACAATATTTATATGCTTTTGCAATTAATTCACTGCAAAAATACCCTCTATTAATAAGTCCATCGCTTTATTACTGTAAAAGTTTCATGATATTAATTTCGTAATCTTAATCTCTAACTTTCTTGTAATTTTTAATAATACATCAATAAATTCTAGCAATTTCGAATTTACTATTTCCCTATCAACATTTAGTAATTTTCTAACAGCTACTTTTTTATATAGATTATTTTTCTTCATAAAATATTTCCAAAATTCTAAATCAACACCCTAAATTTAAATTTATATTTACTGCTTAGTTTTTTACATCAAAAACCAAAATATCATTTTCATATTTTTCTCTAACAATCATTCCTACATGATCATATTTAGATCCTGTAATACCTCTTTATAATTTAGCCATATAATGATCAGTTCTATATATAAATAAATAAATACTCAAATAATAAAATATCTCCTGTTTCTGTCCAATTGAGAAACTCTTCTTCTCTAACAAAATCCAATCCAAAATATATATCTCTTACATGTAATTTTTCAATTTCTTTTAAAAACTTTTCTTCAATCATTCTAATACATTAAAACCATAACTTTCCTTCAATATCATCATTACATTTAAAAATTATAACTTTCTAATATTATTTAAACTCTAATTTAAACAATTTGAATTGATTCTTACTACACTTTAAATAATAAAAAAATGAATAAATACTTAAACTAAATTGAAACCTAGGAATCTAAGATTATAAACAGATCCCCATTGTTTCTCTTCAATAAATACAAGTTTTTCTCTAGTCAAAAGAATGTTAGTTTTATTGAATCCACCATTGTTAATCTTGATTTAGACAATACCCTATTTGATTACAGTATTGCCTAAATCATAATTTTAATATTTTTATAGTGGAGTTTGGCATAATCTTGTATGTAGAGCAAAACTCTATTAGAATATGGTGTATTATTATTAATATTGATTTTCATAGTATTAAGGACCTTTACGTTCAAACAATTCAATTGGAATACAATTATTCAATTCTTATATGTCTGTAAATGATTGACTTCTTTACATGTTAATAAATTAATTAAATTTGTAAATTTGAGATATAATTTAGAATAATATTAAACAAGTATAGATTGTTTAAAGTATAAATACAAATTATATATATATATGTATATAAAATGTATATTTGATAATGGAATTATAAATAATGAGTGATGAATTAATTAAGTAAATATTAACAATATAATAAAATTTGAATTTTAAAAATAAAGTAAAAAAATTAATGAGATTAAATGACATGACAGAATCTAGAAAGATGTTGAAGTAATTTAAAGAGAAGGAGGTAAGACCACCGAGATCATATAGTGATTTTTCAAAATCTCCGAGATAATTATAATTAGATACAATATAATTGTATTCATGGGGTATGAATAATGTAGAATGTAGGTTTGAATAGTTGTGGTTAATTGTTGAAGAATAATAAAAATATTACTCCTCATTATTAGGGAGTAACATTATGTTCAGCAGGTGAGAATCATACAATAATAGTGAATAATAAAAATGAAGTATTTGGATTTGGAGATAATTAATTTGGTTAATTGGGATATGAATCAAATACATAATAAAAGTTAAGTGCAATATTTAAAGATTAGAGAATAACAAGTATAGTATGTGGAGCTGAACATACATTTATGTTAACAGCAAAAGGTGAGATATATAGTTGGGGTTTGAATTTAAAAGGACAATTAGGTTTAGGTTGTTTTGATAATATAAATTAACCAACTTTAGTTTATGGATTATTGCCATTTGGTAATAGCAATATAAAGGCAAGAGAATCATAGTAAGGACATAAAAGAATGAAAAGTGCAAATGAAGGTGATTAATCTACTTCTCCAGGATTGAAGGAGAGATCTTCATCAATAGATAATATTATGGAATAGATTGTTATGATGAAAGAGAAGATTAAACAAAAGAATACTAATGATATATAATAGTGTTAGATTTTATTATAAAATGACGAAGCTGTTTAATAGATTGCATGTGGTGCATTACATACATTAATATTAACAAATAAAAATAGAATATTCTCTTGTGGATTTGGTGAATCATATGCATTAGGACATTAAGAAAATTAAACAATTAATGAATTTAAATTAATTTAAACTTTATCACATTTCAAAGTAGAAAAGATTAGTTGTGGTTTAGCACATTCAGGATGTATTATTGAAGGTGGTAAATCTTATTTATGGGGTGTTTGTAAATCAAATAAAGATTATTATAAATAACCTACTTAAATTAAAATATTGGATGAATTCAATAATTAATAATGTGTATTAGATATGAAAATGGGTGAAATGTTTACAATCTATTTAACAAGTAAAGGTGAAGTTTATTCTATGGGAGATAATATATTAGGTTAATTAGGTAATGAATTAAGTAGTTCAGATATTCCTATCAAAATTTTAGGATTACCATTAATATCATAAATATCTGCAGGTAGAAATCATTGTTTAGCTTTGTCTGCAGATTATAAATAGATATATGGATGGGGTTCTAATATTTATGGATAATTAACTGGATAACCTAGTTTAAATGGTAAAGGAATTATATTACCTAAATTATTATTTACAGTTCCAGAAACTTAAAGAATTATATGTGGAAATTTTCATTCTATTTTATTATCACCTTCTTATTTAGAAATAATCTTAGATGAAAATGAGAATGGAAATAAGGAAAATGAGAAATTAAATGAAGAAGTTGAAAAATATAGAAATGAATAAGAAATTCTAAAATAATAAAATGCATAATTATAATAAAAATATGATAGAATGAAAAATGAATTATTATCTAAAAAGAAAGTAAAAGATTAAAAAGTATAAACAACAGAATCATATATTTAAAGACAAATAAAAAAATAATAATCTAAATTTGATATATCTGCGTTAGAGATATCACCAGAAAGACCTATAAAACATAGAATATTTTAATCTAGTTTAGATATAGATTTTAATGATATAATGTTAGAGAAATAAATAAGTGAAGGAGGTTATGGTGTAATTTATAGAGCTAAATGGAGAGAAACTATAGTAGCTGTAAAAATGTTTAAAATTGATGGAATGAATGAAAATCATATAAGAGATTTTTTATCTGAATGTCATGCAATGGAAGCTCTTAGACATCCTAATATTGTCATGTTTTTGGGTGCTTGTACTAAACCACCTAATTTAGCAATAGTATTAGAATATTGCTAAAGAGGATCTTTATGGTAAGTAATATAAAATCATGATATTCATTTAACTTGGGAAGATCGTAGAAAAATGGCATTAGATGCTTCTAAAGGTGTTTTATATTTACATTCTTTTAATCCTCCAATTTTACATAGGGACTTAAAAAGTCTAAATTTATTATTAGATGAAGCATTTAGAACTAAATTAGCTGATTTTGGTTGGACTAGAACATTATCAAATTATATGACAAGTAAGATAGGTACATATTAATGGATGGCACCTGAAGTTATAGCAGGATAAGTTTATACTGAAAAAGCTGATGTATTTAGTTTTGGAATTATTTTATGGGAAATAGCTGCTAGAGAACCTCCATACAGAAGTAATAGAATTTGTTTATTAATTTATATAGATATTACTGGATTATAAGTTTCATTAGATGTCTTAAATAATGATTTTAGACCTACCATTCCTAAGAAAACTCCAGAAGTATTTGGAAGATTAACTAAAAGATGTTGGGATAGAGATCCAGAAAAGAGACCATCTTTTAAGGAAATCATAAAAGAATTAGAAATGATGAAATTCCCTTAAGGAGTATGATAATTAATAATTATATTATATTATTTATATATTTCTATAAAATTAATCTGAATCTAAACAACATCTCTTTTAATTATTTATATTTTCAATTTAATGGCAACAGGTTTCAATTTATATGTTATTTAAAGGTGGTCAAATTTTAAGATATAATGGTGGCACATGTTATGCTATGTGTTAAGATGTATTTTCATGGTACAATCCATCAATTTAAATTTGTTGGAAGGGATGTGATTATGCTACTGGAAGAGTTAATGATCCAGTATTGAGATAGGAAGCAGAAGATATGTGCAAAAGATATACCGCAGAAGCTATGTGGACTAAAAAAGGAGAATTAGGTAAAATATATTAAATATATTTTATTATTTAGATAATATTGAAGATCTAAGAATACATGCTGATATGTTCCCAGAAAACCCAAGAAATATTTATAGAGCATGCTTAGCAGGTGTTCGTAGATAAAAATATTGAAATAATAAAATAATATATATAAATAAATAAATAAATAATAACAATATTAAAACAGGACTGCTAATATGTTTATACCTAATACACTCAGAAATAACAAAATTAATCTATAAACTTTATAAAACTTAGACTTTGAATTGATGCAAAGGAATAATGATTTAGAAACATTACAATCTTTTATTATTCCATTGCAATAGTAAATCAATCTTCATATTTAGAGGTTTCACAACTGAACGTGAGTTTAAAGATTCTGTTAATACTATTAAGTATTTAAAATTAGTCTATCTCATGTAAATGACATTACTCTATTTTGAATATACTAAACAATATTAAGAAACAACTATTGATTAAATATTCAAATAAGAATTTCTACTTGACAATGAAATCACTTAAAAAGAAACACTCTTAGCTAAATCAAAAAAAAATATTAACAATCTTAAATTAAAATTATCATCTGCTAATAAAGAATTTAAAAAAATCAAATTAGAAGCTTCTAAAAAAGAAACTGTTTATGCTTGTTTATATTGTACAGGAAAAGCTTTTATTTCTATTCCTTTGCTTGAAGCTCATTATTAAAGACATCATATAGATAAATTTGAAAAGCCTAAATAAAATTTTTAAGAAACATTACTTACAGTCTAAACATTACTATTGTAATAATAAATCAATTCCATGATTAATAATTAAAATTAATAAGATTTTATGTTATAAACCATGTAACAAGCATAATTTATGTAATAATAAGCAGAAGAATCTCATTCTTCATAAGATGAAGATTTAGAGGATGAAAAAATGGATGATTATTAAATGAGATAAATTAAATATGAATTTGAATAAAAAAATCTACTACTTTAATAATAAATGGAATCTTTACAAAATTATATAGCTGTTCATAGACCTTAAGAAATTCTAGATAAAATTGAGTAAATTGAATATAGAATTGATAATCTTAAAATTCCAGAACCTGTTAAAATAGAAGAAAAATTACCAACACCACCTCCTGAGAATTTTAGTTATAATGCAGGACCTTTAGAAGATGAAATTAGTGAAATTGCTGATGATATTTATGATGCAAAAGATATTTAATAAGAAATAAAAGAAGATGTTACTAATGATTCTAAAAGTGATGACAATTAAAAAGAACCTTCTGTTATTATTGATAATTAATAAGAAGCTGCATTTCTTTAAGAAGAAAAAGAATTTCATCATTTAGTTAAATCAATTAAATTGAAGAAATCTTAAATTACTAAAGAATTAATGGATCATTTTAGAAATATTCAATTAGACAATGAATTAGAAAGAAAACTTAAAGAAGTATTAAATGTAAATATGAATGAAATACAATTCAAAAGTGAAGTAAAATATATTTAATTAATTAATCTAGAAAGAATTAGAAGATTATTTAACTTAATTAAATGGAAATATTTTATTATCTGATAAAAAATAAGATATCAGAATAAATGATCCAGATTTAGATGAAATCAAAAAACATAATGGACCTAATGTTCTATAAATGGATTCCGATAATGCATTTGATGATGAAGAAAATGAAACAAAAAAAAAATAATAATAATAATAAAAAGAATTTAAAGGAAGATTGAGTAAAAAATAAGGAAAATCTATTATTGAATAATCAAGAAATGTTCGATTTTAATAACCTGAAACACCACCATCAAGTTAATCAAATAATTCAGAAGAAGAATTTGATATTCATTAAAAAATAAAAGCTAATGTCTAAGATATTAATATGTCAAAATCTTAAAAATAAGAACCATAATAATTATAGAAGATTTAATCAGTAAATATGATTAAAAATTCTGAAGAAAAGGATTAAATTTAATCATTATTACCACTTGAAAAAAAGGTATCTACATAATCATAATAATAATCATAATCATAATAATAATCATAATCATAATCATAATAACAATAATATTAAATATAATTTTAATAAAAACCATCAAGCAAAAGAAAAAATAGTTTTGAAGATTCAGAAGAATTTTAAACAGAAAATATATAAACAATATTTTAAACCAAAAGACCAGTTTCATAAATATCTTAATTTGGTAAGTCTTAAGAATCTGATATACCATTACATCAAAATGTAATTAGATCATAACAATAAAAAAGTTCAATAATAAAAAATAAGTTATTTAATGATAGTGAAGATGAATTTTGAGCTTGCCTAATTATATTTAAAAGTTGATTAATTAAATGTATTATCTAAAAAAAAGTTGTTGTTACTTCACATTCATTCTTTGAGAGATTTAATAATTTACTCTTGCTCTGAAATCAATCTATTTTCAAATTGTGAAGTTTTTTCAACCATATATTCTTACATTCTTTTTAATGCAGCAAATTTAGTCATCTAATAATGATTAAAAATATTTATTACTTAAGAATAAAATAATCCAGCATTAATAATAAATCCTACATATATTGCTCTTCTTAACTAAAAAATCTAATAAATTCATTACTAATTGATGCTTATCATTAAATTTAATGATAATTTATTCTAATTTCTGGAATTGTGAATTCATTATCTATAATTAATAATTTTTATTATTTTTATGAATAATTCAATTAATTCATAGTAAATTGAACCAAAGAATAAACCAGTTATATAAGATCATTCAAATATTTTTTAAGTGGAAAAGAGATCAACTTCTAAGATGTTTTGGAATAAAAGGATAATTCAATTCTAAAATGGAATGTTAAGTTATTTTAAAGTTCCAAAATGTAATTTAAAATTTGATTTATGAAAAATAGAGATGAATGAATTAAGTAAAATGTAACCAAAGATTTCAGTTATAATAGAAAATATATTATATATAGGACCCCCAGAAAAAGCTAAAAAGTAAAATTCAATAGAAATAACATTTATGGCAAAAGATTCAATTATACCTTCTAAAATGAAAAATAGAAGCACAAATATGAGTATAAACAGTAGTTATGGAAGAGATTTAATGGCTGCGCAATAACCAATAGTAATAACAAAGAAAAAGGAGATAATAATATGGGAAATATCATTTTCTAAACCAGAGACTTTAAAAGAATTTACTTAAATAATTGATAAAGTGAAACATCCTGAAAAATATTAATAGTAAGAATAATAAATTTAGAGTCAAATATAATAATCATCAGCATAATAGACATCTTTATAATAATCTGAAATATTAAAGTAAAAAAGTAGTATTTAATAACAATAAGATATGAATGAAAAAGAGAATTAAGAAAAAGAGAATTAATAAAAGGAAGCCGAATAGATGTAATTGCAATTAGAAATATAAAAATCTGAACAATAATAAAAATAAGAAGAATTATAAATATAGATCTAAAAGGAGAAGGAAATTCATGAATCTGAATTGAAAAGCAGAATTGAAAAGGAATAATAATTAGAAAAAGAAAATAAAATATTATAGAAGAAAATAGAAGAGTAAAATAAATAAGAATAGTAATTATAGACTAAAGAAGAATAAAAGAAAAATATAGTTAAAAATAAAATAAAAACAGCATGGAATTATAATTATTTATAAGCAATAGAATTAGCAAATATGAAAGATCCAAAAACAATAGAGGAATGCATTACAAATAGTTTTGTTTTGCATGAATCAATAGGTAGAATGAGAGATCATGCAATTGATATTTGTTAAATGATAATTGATGAGTTATGTTTACCAAATTAAATGAAAACAATAAAACCAACAGATTGTTTAAATGAAGATAAATATATAATGTATAATTAATAAGATAATACAATTGATTTTGGAGATGATTTTTATTGTTATGATGGATTATTCATAAAATTATCATTTTGTTAATTGAAATCTTAAGAAATATATACATAATAGGGTAAATAAGAAATATAAATATATGAAGAATCTTAATTAAAGGCATTAGGAAATGGTATATTTTAATTATAATTAAGATAGAATTTCGTTATCTATCTTTATTAGCTGATTAGATTGAACTTTTAATATAAGAGGAATCAAATTATCCTTTAAGAGTTCCATTATCATGTATAATAGATTATAAAGGAATAAGAGCATTTGTTTTAGCAATACCTCCAATAGATGATACTACATTAATACATGGTCCAACTTTAGATGGTTAATTTGTTACAAATAATGCTATTTAATAATATATGAATTAAATAGGAGTTAAATTAAATTTAAAATAACATAAATTCTTTGAAGATTAATTAATTAGTAATTTAATACCAATGAGTTTATTTTAAGAAGTTCATAAAATTAATAAAGATTATATTGAATTAAGATGGATTGAAAATGAATAGAATTTAAATGAATTTCCACCTTAGAATTTATCTTTGTATTATTTATTGAAATGTGGTGATTTAATGCCTGTAATTCTATAAGATAATTTACAAAATACTTTTAGATTGAGACCAGAATTTGTAAGAAGTTGGAATAAACCTTTAAATTCAGATTCATATTTAAAATAAATTAAACTATCTGAAACTGAAGCAGATTATAATGAATTAAAATAAGCATCAAACTATTTATAAAATCAACTTTTAAATGATCTTATTAATAAATTTGAATCTCTTGAATATTTACCAATTGATTCAATTTAATTAAGTGAATAATTACATTAATCAGGTATTAATATAAAATATATTGGTAAAATATGTTAAATGTGTTAATTATAACATATTAAAGATTTATGTATATGTGATATGATTAGTAGAGTTTGTAAGAAAGTTCTTAGAAATAATTTAGCAGATTTAATGAAAAATCTAAAATATTAGTTATCTTAAAAATTGTAAAGTGATTAATCTAATATTTTAGAATTCTCTATGATTTAAGAATTAACAACTAAAGATGTTTAAGATACTAATATTGTATTAGAATTATCATCTAAATTAATTAATGAATGTTGTTTAGACTTCTTCAATCTATTATTAGGAGTAGGAAAAGAATCTGATATATTTTGGATATAAATTATATAAAAATAGATATGGTATGATTATTCATACAATCTTGATGTTACATCTAGATTTTCTATATAATTCAAAGGAATGTTATTATATTGTCTTTAATAATAATGTGATATATCATTCACAATATCTTCAACTTTAATTAATGGAATGTTTAAAGAAGCATTTCCTTTAAAAGAAAAACCTTAATTCAATGCTTAATAAAAGTCTTATTAATTGAATACATCAAAAATAGCTAGAAAATCAAAAAGAAGGAATATTATGAATTAAGAATAGATATTTTAATCCATCAAATGGTCTTTAGAATTATGTTTAATACGAAAAGAAGGAGATGAAGTTTTTGCTAATTTATTATGTGAAGAAAGTTGTGAAAATGCAAATAAAGCACTTTGTTTTACTAAACCTGGCCATCCTATTTAAATTAAACCTTTATTACAAATTCTTTAAGTGAGCATGAATAATTTAGATATTGCACTTTAATATTTTGAATAAATCCTTTAAATTCTTGATTCCTATTTTGGATCATCACATCCTAATTATTTTATAATTTACTCAATTTTTGGACATTATTTAATGGAAAGCGGTTATTTTAATGATACTTTAAATTTATATGAAAGTGCTTTATAATGTGCAATTAGGTTATTTTAAGTTCATCAATGTATTGCAGATATTTATTCAGATATTGGTTAATTACATTTTTTAAAAAAAGACTATAACAATGCATCTGTAAATTATAATAAAGCTATCTCGATATATGAAAAATGCAATTAATATCAATCTTATAAATATGCCAATATCCTCTTTCTACAAGGATAATTATTATTTATTCAAGAGTCATTTGAAAAAGCAAGTCAATAAATTGAAACTGCAATTGATATATTGTATTAATTTGAATATTCATAAACTGATCTTTTAATGGAGGCTATCAAATTATTAATTCAAATTAGTAATTCTTAAAATAAATAAAGTAATATTAATTAATTACATTTATAACTTCAACTTTTATAGATGAGACATTCCATTATGTAATGAAGTTAAATATTTAATACTTTATATATTTTTTCCTTTAATTTTAAATAATACAATAATCAAATAAAATTTAAATTTGAAATAAAAAACAATGAGGTTTCACTTTGATCCAAATAATGCTAATCGACTTAAAGAGAAACAATAAAAATAGCCAAAAATAGAATTGCAAGATTCTTAAAATATTGCTTAAACAGTATCTATGGATTTGTCAAATGAAAATTCAAATATGGGAATGTAAATTTAAAATCAAGAAACAAATTCTAAAGATTTATAAAAACTATCATCTGAACAAAATAAAAATTTTTATGAACCAAAAGAATCATGGGAAAAATTACCTGATTATCCATTAGTTTACTAAGACTTACAAATTCCTGATTGTAATTAAAATGAGATTTATCTTGCTTTATATGAATAATGTTTTAATGAAGAAATAAATAAATTTAAAGAACATTATTCATAATTTAAGGAACTAATTTTTTACTGCGAAAAAATGTAAACTATGATGAACACATTTTTAAAAAAAGAAAGATAAATGAAAGAAAAATATTGTTAACCAACTTAAAAAGATTTACCTTATCTTATAAAAAAATTAGAATATCAATAATAAATTAAAGAATATGAAAAATCAATTGAAAAATTTATAAAAGCATAAACAAAAATAAAGTTGATATTACAAAATGATATTTAATAGCATGTTAGTATATAAATGATTAATCATATATCTTATGATTAATCATCAAATCATGAAATATTTAGTCAAAGAATAAATGAGTTTCTAGAAAAGAATTAAAATTTAAAAGAATAATTATTAGAGAGAACAACATAACATGTATAATATATGTTAATAATTTTATTAGTTTGTAAAGCTATCAAATGACAGTAAGAAAATCTAAGAAGAAAATTAAGAAATTTAAAGACAAATTTTGATGTATGAATAAAATTTAGGAAAAAATGCAGATTAATTTTAAGTTTTGAATTGTTTCATTTGAATTCTTATTATGTACTATTAACATTCATAGGACTTTCATTTTGCATTATTTAATTAATTTCAATTGATGCTCTAAGTCTACTGAGTCTACTGGACCCAGCAAAATTGATAACTTTGGTTGAAGCATATTCTTCATAAGTTTCCATTTAAGAAACTTTTAATGAGGTAAGACAATTAAATAAAATAGAAAGGAAGAGTGCAGAGATAATAATAATTGTAAGTATGGAAATTTTATTAAGATAGTATGAATATACTACACACATTCCATCTAACATTTTATTAAAGTCTTCCTAAATTATAATAATATTAAATAATTACTTTAATAAATGTACAATTTGTAGCCTTAAGTAAGCTATTTAAATTGTACAGAGTTTTTTATTATAAATCAATAAATTCTGAATGATTATTAATATATTGATTTAATTTAAAATTTAAATCTAAATTTTAAGATACAAATTAAGATTCTAATAATTAAGTTTTAATCCATCCTTAAGCTTATGATTAGTAATGTAATTTTAATTTTTAGAATAGATCTTATTAATTCAAACATGATGAAGAATATTTTGTAATCAGATATGATGGATGCCAACACATTTAAGAATCATTAAGTCCTCCATTTCTTCTTGGATAACTTCCATCAGAACATAATGTTGCTGATAATTCTACACAATTTTCTTATTCTTTATATTAATTAAAATCATCAATTAGAATTTAGAATTTTTCCATTTCAGATGGACTTAAATCAATAAATGTACCATCTACAATTGAAGTAATAGTTAAAGAATTATTATTCAACTTTTATATAAAGATGGCCTAATTTGAATTTAATTTTTAAATTTCATCTAAGACTCCATTTTCACTATTGATGAAGGTTCTAATATCTTTAAGTCTTGATATAAAGTTTAATTATTCATAAATATTTCCATCACCATACAAACAAGAATGAATAGCTTCTTTAGTTTCTGAAAAATCAATAATATTTTGTTAATCATAGAATTACTCATTATGTATAATACTATCAAAATAAATGCATAGTTCATTCGATATTTTTGAATTGGATTATAAGAAAATATTTATTATCAATATTCCAACCAATATAAGATTGCATAAAAACCAAAGTATATCAATATACTTTTTGATTTTTAAATGTTTATTTATCATATAACCTAACCATAAAATAATTTCAATAAAACTGAAAATGATTAACACTATTAATAAACCAATATTTGAATTAAAGTAATAGTTCATATCTTCACTTAAAGTTTAATGGAAATCAATTAATTTATTAGCATAATGTAATATATAGTTATTTATTTATGATAACTATTACTTAGTTTTAGTGATCATTGTAGTCAATTTAGAATCTCTAAGAGTTAACGAAGAATTCTCCAAAGACCCAAATCTCTAAAATATATTTCCATAATAGTCTTTGATTTCATCCACTTAACTTGTCAAATACATATTATTCTATTCTTTTTTGACTATATCATAATATCCAAGTTGAGTAAGATGATTTTCGTCTTCCTTTGTTGAAAATAAATAATCTATCTATAAATTTTGTAATTAGGAGATTTACAATTTTCATTTTCGAGAAATAGGATTCAATAGCTGAGATAATATGAGTTCCATTCGATGAGATTTTAATAGGAAGAGGAGAATTGGGCTCATTTCTCTTAAGTCTATTCTTATATAAAAATGTACTAATCATTAAAATCTATAATATCTTATTATTTTGATTATAAAGTGATGGATACTCTACTTTAATATAGTTTTTTTAAATTAGATTAGAAATCCATGAAGTTATTTTATAATGAATTAAAATCAGCTTATAAAATACTGTATCCAGTAAAATTCTCATCATTTCTTACAAGTAATTTATTAAAAGATTTAGCTATATAACAATTGGAATAATCTAATCCATCAATAGCTTTATTTGAATAGACCTTAGAATATTATAACTGATTACTAATGATATTATAGAAACAATAATTATGAGTAGATTCAAAATAACAATAGTTACAATTCCAAATTTATGAAATCTCTTTGTATTCAAAATGAATTCATCCTCTGTATGTTATTTAATCCATTTGATTATAGAACTATGATATGGTATTAAATAGTATACCTTGGCATTAGCGTTACTAAAATATAGAGCATAGATAAAAATAGAGTAGATATAGCAATAATTAGCCAAGGAAGTGTGTAATATTAGAGATCTATAAAATAATTGTCAGAAGATATTTTGTAGCTGTTATTAATCCATTTTTCCACCTGACTTGAAAGTTCCTAATTTTACTCTGAATAAATGGAATCAAAAATTGATTATCTTTATGAGTCTGTGATATCAACTAGATGATAATGATATTTAATTTTTACAATTTTCAATTTCCTTGCATAATTGATTTTGAGTATTAGTGAATTCGAGAATATCACTATCACTATTATCATTTGATAATACTAAAGTCAAGAAAAGAACAAAAATAATTGGATAAGGTCGTCGCATTATTGAATTATTATTTCAATTAAATTATTATTGTTAAATAGCATAAAATGAAGAATTGATTGTTCAAATAAATGATAATATATTATCGGTATTTATCTTAACTATGAATGTTGATAAGAAAATACAGTGTCTACAATAATTGAATAAAATGAATATAAATGGCTTGTTTATAATGTATTTACATAAGAAATAATGAATATGCATTAATTTTGAATGGAGAAATATAAATATATATTTAAATATTAATTATTTGATTGTTTCTTAATTAATAATTGATGTATCGAAGATTCTAAGTATATTATAATAAACTTAAAATTTATGAAACTCTATATCCACCATTTATATGGAAGTGTTTTCGATGTTGAATCAATTGATAAATTAGGTTTCTCATTCGTATTTCATCATTCTCACTCAAAAATCCAAAAGAGAAATAATTTAAATTGTATTATTTATACAACTACTATAAGACTTCTAAATCATCAATTTCTAACAGATCTTTTTATGATATATATTTTAAAACTTAATTTCTTATTATTTATTCTAAATATGTATGACTATTATTTAAATGATCAAGTTTAACTAGGAATGAAATTTACTATTTTCTCAATAAACTATGACAAGTATCTTATTTAGTTTTTTGATTAAAATGTTACTCTCCAATCATTTTTTGAGTAATGTAATTTCAATCTTCAAATAATGCACAATCCTATTATATATTATCTTTAATAATTATATTTAAAACTTAATAATAAACAGATAAAGCAAGTGGGCATTTAATTTCTCTGATTATAAAACTCTTTTGATGGATTTCTTGGATTAATGTTAATTCGCTATATTTCAATTAATAAATTTAATCAGAGTCATATTAATTGAGAGTTTCCTTTTTGATATTATAATAATCTTTAATTAATTAATAAAAGAAGAGTAAAATACCATGTGCATTATTAAGATTTTATTTTATAGTTCTTGCTATCAACTAATTGATTCAAAAGTTGAACTTAAGAAATAATTTATTAAAAGGAGCAAAATAAGCTTTAGAGTAAGAGTGAACCAATTTTATAAAACTTTATGATTGCATTCCCTATTTAGATTGTTGCAATCTTATTAATTTTTTTTGTGTTCTCTTCACGAAAGAATTAATTTCATTCGGAAGTAAAAGTAAAATTTCCTAAGCTAAAGTTCTAGATGATTCCCAATTACTTCTTCATTAAGTAATTAGTTATCCAACTTTAGTGTTTCCTTATGCTTGTTCTAAACAATAATTAAATAAAAATTATTTTTTCTGATAAATTTCTCCTTTTTTGGTTCTAGTGTTTCAGGAGTACTAAAAAATTAATAATTCATCTTCAAAATTTATAAGCAAGGTCTAGAAACTTCATAATAACATTCAGGTATTAATTGTGAATATAATATTTCAACAATTTATTGAGTGAACTTAATTATAGATTGAATTGAAGTATTGTCTTTTGATTTACCTGGTTCTAAAAATTTAAGATCTTTCTAATAACTTGTTCTGATTTAAAAAACTTTATTTTTGATAAATAATTCTTTTTAAAATTGAGATAAGAGGTTTTTATAACAAATTATTCAAAGAGTAGAATAGAATCTAATTCAGTTTGAGTTGGTTTTGCAGCTTTTCTGCTATTTATAGCAGAAATTTGAAATGCTTCAAACTATAAAGCTCTATTAATATTAAACATCCACTTTTAAATAATTTTGATATTGACATTTAACAAAATAACATTCTTGAAAAAATATCTTATTCAGAAATAGAGATTTATTATTCAGATTTTGCAAATTTTGAGCAAAGAATTAATTGCCCATATTTTTTGTTGATATTATCTAATCTTATTTTATTTTGTGATCAATAATATATTTTATATATTCTATTTTAACATCTGCTAAATTTTATTGATTTATTAAGCATAAGCATAATTGAGATTGTAATTTTATTGATTTAATTTAACACTTTCAATGTAATGATCAACAAAATAGTAACAAATTAAAGTAATCTTATAATTAAAAAATACAACATTTTTCTTGTCCTCTTTTCCTAATTCATTAAATAGTTTTATCAGTATTTTAACCTCTAATCAATAAACTTCATCAAAACAAGAATTGAATAAATCTAATAATACAATCTTTTATGGATAGAATTTAATAGCTTATTTTTTTAAATAGAATTATTTTTTAGGATTCATGCTGATGAATGACATTTGTTTAATTTGGAATATTGTATTTTAAGATTTGTTTATGATCAGATATCTTCTAGATTGACTTATCCATCTTAATATAGTTTTTTCACAATTAAATTAAAATTAAATGATTAATTTTTGTATTGATGATTATTAATACTCAAATTTGAATATGACTGAAATCAACTGATTAGACTAAAGCCAAAGCTTATTCAGTGATTTATTATTCTCTAATAAACTCGTTCTTGGTATCGTTATAGATTTGAGTTTCATCAGCATAATTGTCATTTTCTAATTGTAATTCAGCTTCGTATTATTTCAAATCAGCGACTCTTTGGTTAAGGAATTCAGTGACTTAATCAATTTTATCTATGAAATAATAAAAAATAATATATTACTATTTGTAGCAGTCAAATCAACATTGACAGCATTAATTTATCTTTAGAATTCAGCAAATTCAGAATCTAATTAAGCTAATCTTTCTTCATATTCTTCAACTGCATTGGCTTCAGCAAGTGTTTAATCATTGATACTGTCAACAATAGCATTTCTAAATTCATTTAAAGCATCAACAATTTAAGATATGATTCCTTAATCTGAGAAGTTTTGATTTGAAGCTAGTGTAAGAAGAGCCTTTAAAAAGGGAGCCATTTTTGATCTTGGTTTGATACTTTATTCTATTTTTTTAAGTGAATTTTAGAATTTCTTAACTTAAGCTAAAGATGGATTGCTCAAAGTTTATAAGAGAGCAAGGGCGTCATCAACTGCAACTGTTGCATCAGTTAATTCAGCAACTTAAGCTTCAAATGCTTCATGTTCTTATTCTCTAATTAAGACTTCTTCGTCATAGTTCTTTCTATTAATTTCTTGATTTTCTTCAAGATTGGCAATTCTGTTTTCCAATTATTCTCTTCTTGGAATCAACAAATTTTCAATGACATCTTGAGATCTGCTGATATCAATTTGAGCATCATTGATTTATTAATTCAATTAAACAACTAAAGCATTGTGTTAATTTGTTCTTTATTAGAAATTGAATTCTAATAATTGTACTCCATCAATCAAATCGTTATCCAATTCTTCTATGGCATCGACTAACTCACTAACAGCTCCTCCAGCTAATGAGTGTAATTCAACCAAATGTAAAAGAGCTTTTCCATAATTTGATTTCTATAGTTCTGCTTACAATTTTTATGGTGTCTATCTCAATGTGGATTTCAAACTTGTTGCTAGAACAATTACTAATACCAAAACAAAAATGGTTTTCATTTAATTAATTAATACACAAAAACGCACAAAATATTCCGTTTTTCAATTGCCAAGTCGAAAATTGAAATTTGAATTATAACTAACATATAAGTTGGTCATCATAACAAAAATATTGTTTTATTTTATTTATTAATAATATTTCAATGATGTTCATGATGATGGGCATATTATTTCTTCCAATTTTCTTCAATTTATTTTCTTACATCAGCAGGCAATTATGGATGATGATGTTAATAACCTCCTTCAAATGGACTTCCTCCATGGAATTAATGGGGATCATTATGGCCATCAAATTCAACATGTCTGACTATAATAAATAATTAATATAAATATTACATCTTTCATATTCAAATACATCCTTATAATACTAAGTGATATAAGCTCTTGTGGATGCTGGCTCACTTTTAGTAAGTCTTGAAGTGAATTATCTCAAATAATCATTTACTACTAAATCTTCATTTAGAGCTTCTAAATCCATATCTCCAATTGGATTAATGGGTTCTGTATTTATTTATGTCTTAGTAGTATGTCTCCAATGAGCTTCAATACCCATAGTATGCCATTAGTTAACTACTGCAACTATAGTTTTTCCTGGTGTGTGTTTGTATAATGTTTCAAAGATCTCAATATCTTTTCTATCAACCAATATTTTCTTTTAATGAGGACTCAATTTCTCAAAAAGTTTAACAAACCAAGAAGCTCTATATTTATCAATAGATTCAGCAAATTATTCTCCACCAAGTACTGCCAATTAAAATGCTAAATCTTATCTTTCTCTTCTCCATCTAACTTGACTGAGAAGTTTAATAAAATTCAATGAAACACTAACTGGATCAAATCTTGGTTCAGTCTATAATATTTCAATTATTAAATACTTTTAATGATAAGAGGTCATCGTTAGATATTGCCAATCCACCAAATACAACATTAGCACCTTGAGCTTTTGCTTATTCAATAGCATACTTTACTTCTAATCCCGGAATGAATGGATGGAAATCACTATTGAATGCTAAAATTAATTATTAATAGATATTATTTACCTTTCAAAAATTACATTAAACCTAACCATGAGTAAAGTCTTGCCCAAAAGACTGTATTTCTGAAATTTCTAACTCCAGATTCTAATTCCCATTAATAAGCCCCTCTTAATACATCATTATAGACATTCAATTCTGATTGTGATGTAATTCCCTCAATATTTTTAATTATATTCCACCACTCTTAGTTGGTTTATACATAGACACTATCAGGTTTGACTTCATTTATCAATTTTTATGTTCTGTAGGCCAACATAGTTGATGCATGTGTTGATCCAATAAGATATAGTTTTCTATGATTAGCAGGGTCTTCAAGAATGGTCAATGTATTCTCAAATGGATTCGATCTACATTCCTATTATGTAATTACCTATTTCCAGCTCTTAGGAATTTGCTTAGCAGATGATTTTGGTTTCTTTGGAATTTATGTACCACCTATCCAAACATTTATATTTTTTATTAATAATAATAAATATCTCCATCAATATTGTTATTATATAAATCTCATTTTCCTTTATGTTTATCAACAAATGTTGTTACCATCTATAATGAAGCTTCTGGCTAATCAGTAGGTACTAGATGTCCAGCATTATTAATTAATACTAATTCCAAATTTCCTGCTGATTTCTAATATCCAACTATTTTATTTGTTCCTATAATTTTTAATACTTCAAAATCCTTATCTCTGTATTCCTAAATCTTCTCGTATTTTAAATCATAAACCCATCTCAAAGTTCCTGGAGTTGAACAAATCAAATCATTCTATCCATTATATATCAAAAATGGAATTTGCTAAACCACTTACTCTACTGTCTCTATAACATCTCTCAACATAAAGTCATATTTTAATGCTTTTTATACTGGACCATCATCATCATTACTAATTTTGTATTTCCAATCATCACTAAATCCAAATTCATTCACCACCTTAATGTTATTCAAATATTCCTCCACCTTATCCTCCGTTTCTCCATAATTACCATATTATAGAACATTATAAACATTCATACCTCCACTTTGTGTAATTATTATGTCTAAAGATTCTTCAAAAGCATCTCTAGCTCCCAAAGTATTACCTTTATTCAATTCTGCCAATCCATATGCTAATATTGAATCTACTTTCATTCTCTCTTGAATATCTATCAAACCTAAATTAAAAGAATAAGCTGCATATTCTGCTATTACGGAATATGGATCTGTAAAAGGATCTCCTATTCCTATGCCTTTCAACGGAATCTGTTTCTATGCATTCAAATTATAATCCAATATTGCCTTTGCTATCGTTGGAACATATCTAAATCATATAAATATTTACTTCCCGGCGTAACTTTCACCAAATATAAACCAAGGTGATCGACTCAACCCTCCTACATGTTACTATTCCACACATCCTTTTGCATCAAATAAGAATTATTTTAATGCATATAAAAATTAATCTCCAATTTATTCTTAATTTGTTGGTACCTCTGATTATCTCTCAACATATGCTAATCCTGTTCCAATTGGCTAATCTACGAAAATCATATTGTATTCTGTATTCCATGCATATTTATTCTTTGTCAAACTACCATTTTTTTACATTAATAATGGCCCTAACTCCATAAAATTTCCTAATTAAGATGATGATCCTGGTCCACCATTCAACCATATTAATGTTGGATAATTTTCAAGTTCGCTTTCTTATTTAGCTTTCTAACTCCCATAAAATATAAATCCCAATGATGAATTACTGTTTTCAAAAACGCTCAAATATCCAGAATATATCACTTGACTATCATCAAACAATGGATCTAATTATTATGCATCAACCTTTTTGCATTTTGTTCCTTTTGGAAATGATCCCTCACTTTTATATATATCACTATAATCATAATGGCCTTCTTTAAAGCTTAACCTTGTATAGCCCAAACTGATGAAAGCTAATAATATGATTTTCTACATACAAATATTATTTAAATTATATTTGACATAAATTATTACATCATTATTATTAAATATGAATACATATATATTTTTATTTAAATTTATTCTATTTTTCTGTCAATTAAACATATTAGATATTTAATTTCTTTATAATGAGAAAATTAGAAACTTTAATGATCAGATTCTATCTTCTTTTTATTTATTTTTCAGTAAAAGAAATTAAAAGATTTAACCTAATTCATTTTTTCTTACAACCAAAAAAGGCACATAATTTATTATTTTATTTGGCTATTCCTAATCAATTCTTCTAAACTAAACTCCAAATTTCATAAAAATAAAAAAAGAATAGAATAAAATTAGATTCAATACAAAAAAATTTAATATAATTTAGATGCAGATCTAGTTACTCTTTAAAAAAAATTTATTTATGTTTAATTTGGAATTATATAAATTGGTGAATTAAATGTATAATTCTTTAATAATTGTAAGTGGTTTAAATTGTAAAAATATACCTCATTGATTAAATAAATTATCGAGCAATTGTGAGTCAAGCCATAAAGTTATTTGTGATCTGTAATTTAAAAAATAGGAACTGGATCATAAATAAAAAATTTTAGCTCTACTGAGAAAAGTGAATAAGTTGAAGTAGGCTTAAATTTTGATGAATCTACAAAGGAATAAGGTTTATTAAAAGTAAAGATTGATTATGATACATTATAAACAGTAAAAATTAATGAATATATTTTGAGCAGAGGAATCTGAAAATAGTCAATTGGGATATAATAAAAGAAATTGATTTTTCAGGAAATTATAATTATGGATTAGATCATGGAATGAGGGGAGTTTATTCTGAAAAACGTAAATTACTATTAAATTAAATAGTTATTGCTGCTTTTAATGAAGAATAGTTAAGAAATCTTTAGGTATTGAAGTTCAAAATTAGGAATTAATTGAACGCATTAGAAATGGAAATGTATTCATCATTAGCAAGTCTGAAGAGAAGAAACTTTAGATTATTTTGTATAGACTTACTGCATATTTATTCAGTAGTTGGGATAGTAAAGAAGCAAAAGTATCAGAGGCTAGGATTGAAACATTATGAAATTTATTCACAATTCTTCTAACATTAAAATAATCATTCAACATAATCTATGCCTGTGACTAAGGCTTTCTTGGCAAAACTAGCAATTAAATAGCCCGCATCATTATATTTATGGTCTGTATTCCATAAAAGATTTCCCTAANATTACATCATTATTATTAAATATGAATACATATATATTTTTATTTAAATTTATTCTATTTTTCTGTCAATTAAACATATTAGATATTTAATTTCTTTATAATGAGAAAATTAGAAACTTTAATGATCAGATTCTATCTTCTTTTTATTTATTTTTCAGTAAAAGAAATTAAAAGATTTAACCTAATTCATTTTTTCTTACAACCAAAAAAGGCACATAATTTATTATTTTATTTGGCTATTCCTAATCAATTCTTCTAAACTAAACTCCAAATTTCATAAAAATAAAAAAAGAATAGAATAAAATTAGATTCAATACAAAAAAATTTAATATAATTTAGATGCAGATCTAGTTACTCTTTAAAAAAAATTTATTTATGTTTAATTTGGAATTATATAAATTGGTGAATTAAATGTATAATTCTTTAATAATTGTAAGTGGTTTAAATTGTAAAAATATACCTCATTGATTAAATAAATTATCGAGCAATTGTGAGTCAAGCCATAAAGTTATTTGTGATCTGTAATTTAAAAAATAGGAACTGGATCATAAATAAAAAATTTTAGCTCTACTGAGAAAAGTGAATAAGTTGAAGTAGGCTTAAATTTTGATGAATCTACAAAGGAATAAGGTTTATTAAAAGTAAAGATTGATTATGATACATTATAAACAGTAAAAATTAATGAATATATTTTGAGCAGAGGAATCTGAAAATAGTCAATTGGGATATAATAAAAGAAATTGATTTTTCAGGAAATTATAATTATGGATTAGATCATGGAATGAGGGGAGTTTATTCTGAAAAACGTAAATTACTATTAAATTAAATAGTTATTGCTGCTTTTAATGAAGAATAGTTAAGAAATCTTTAGGTATTGAAGTTCAAAATTAGGAATTAATTGAACGCATTAGAAATGGAAATGTATTCATCATTAGCAAGTCTGAAGAGAAGAAACTTTAGATTATTTTGTATAGACTTACTGCATATTTATTCAGTAGTTGGGATAGTAAAGAAGCAAAAGTATCAGAGGCTAGGATTGAAACATTATGAAATTTATTCACAATTCTTCTAACATTAAAATAATCATTCAACATAATCTATGCCTGTGACTAAGGCTTTCTTGGCAAAACTAGCAATTAAATAGCCCGCATCATTATATTTATGGTCTGTATTCCATAAAAGATTTCCCTAATGAATCTCTTTCTTGGTGGAGAGGAAATGGCCCATCGCATATTGGTACATTTTATCTGTGATTTATTCCATTTTATCAGTCTCCTTCAATCCATATATAGTACAGATTTCTATAAATTCAGGTTCAGCATATAAACAACTTGTGTATTCTTCTGGAAGAGCCTAAATAATTCAGAATTTTAATTACATTAAAATAATCGTCAACTTCTTTCTTTAATCCTAATAATTAAGACAAGCTTGCTTTGTCAGCTTTTTGAAGCATATATCCAACGAAATTAAAAAGATCAATTTAAGTAGCATCCTTTCCGCAATTCGATACATTTTAGGGTTCAGGTAAATTATTAAATCTATATGCTCCTGTTAAAGCTTCTTAATTAAATTGACGTTCAGCAGGAGTGTAAATGCATGAGGCTATTGCAAAAGTAATGAATAAAATTTCAATTGATTTCATTTTAAAATATTTTTTATATTTAGAAGAATCTTTTTAAATCGGAATAAAGCTTTTGAATTTCAACCAATCAAATCTCTTATTTTTTTATAATCTGTCATTAATAATATTATTAAATAAAAAATAAATAAATTTAAAAAGTTATTTGAATAATTATTTATCTTAAATTAATTTTGATTATCTAATTTTTATTGAAATACGAATTAAATTAAATGTATAAAATTCTCATAATTTATTGCTATCAGGAATAGCAAAGTAAAATTAAATAATTATGAATACAAAAGAATATTTAAAAAAAAAAAGCATCCTTGTATTATTGATATGAATATAAACAATATTGTATAATGACGAAATGCTACAATTTCTTTCATAACTAATAATTCTTAATCATTTTTTGCTTTCTCAACAACATTTAAAAGTGCCTTACTTAAATTAAAAATATTCTGGTTAATCTCATAATTACGAAATGAAATTACGTTTTTATATGTCGAACTTAAGGCGAAATTTTAAATTACTTATCATCACTTTTCACAAAAATCTTATGGAATTATCATAATTGCTAAACTCTTTGAATTTCTTGTATAAATTATTATTAATGTTATTTTTAATTTTATTTAATTATATTTCATTTTTATATCAGATACCAAAATAAGGCGATGGATGCTCATCTTGGCTTTCTAATTATCTTTTTTAAGATAAATACTTTATTATTCACTTGAACTTTCTACACTATTCTTTGCAAAACTGAAGGATTGTGTTTCAACTATGCTTATAATAGGCAATTCTTCATCGTGATAGCATCCCCAATAAAAATTATTAGTATAACAAACAATTACAAAATAGCATGTATTATCAACAATAACCAAAAATAAAAATACAATTAAATTTATAGCACAAGGATAAAACAACTTGGCATCAAATTAAAAAACCAACTGATTTGAATAACAAACATCAATTATTGATTAATTAAGATAAATTACTTCTCTAAATTAAAGAATAAGAATTATTGCTATTATTAATTCAAAACTTATTCTTATAATTAATCTTAACTTGAACGATTGTTTAATTAATCGATTTCTGTATCCTGTAAGTCTATTGATGGAGGATTAAATTACTTTTTATCTACATGACATAATTAACAACAAAGCAAAGTTAATATGAAATATGCAAGAACTGGTATGTAACATTCAAACACTAATACATTATATATTCTTAAGTTATTTAGATCGATTCCATTGATCTACAGACAATTTTAATTATCAATAACGCCATTTTCTTCATTCAATTCATTAATATTATTGAAAGTGAGTATCAAATATATGAATTGCAAAGTCATTAAGACAATTATAGCGCTTTAGCTTATTATATATTTGATACTAATTGATTTCTGATTCTCAACATGCCCTATTTTGAAATTTTGTTATACATAAATTTGGTGGGCAGAGCAACATATATTTTAATTCTATATATATTATTTTAAATTTAATAATTAATATTTAATAATTAATTTTAATGTGAATCAAGGATTCTTTTAAGCTAATTTGTTAACATTAGGTCTTCTTCTTCTTCTTCTACTTATTCCAAAACCAGGCATTCTTTAAACAAATAAATTGCTTATCCCCATTTTTTGGACATGAGTTCTAATTTCTACTTTACATTTTTCTAATAATTCTTATTTTAAGAGTTAATGTTTGATTTATTACATTTCTTTGTTGAGTTGATCAAAATCAAAAATAAATGCTTATTATGCTCTCTCTGTTGATTTCTAATGTCTTGCATGAAATATGGCTGCAATAAATAAATTTTATGGTATTTCTTCTAGCAAAAAGAATTCATAAACACTTTACAAATCTTGATATTTAAATTTAGTTTCTGATAATAATTTGATTGCTTTCTCTTTTTTGAATGTCATTTACATTTACCAATCTTCAACTTTAATAGCTTCTACTTCTTTGAAAATTTAAGAAGTAATTGCAGACATACTCTTAAATTCTTGAAGTTTTTCCTTATCAAATTCATTAATTATTCTTTAATTTAATTCAGTGAGTATTTTTGGTTCATTCTCTAAGTTAAAGAATAGATTAATATGATCTTTAGATGTTATATCCTTAAAAATTCTTCCTATAGTTTCAATTATAAATCTATCAAGCACATTTTTGATTTATTATTATTATAATTTATCTTTTTGTGCTGAGAGAATTAGTAAAGCCTTGATGGTATCTTAACATGAAGTATCTTATTCTTTATTCACATCAACCAAAGTTTAGATTGGGTCATTAATTAATTTTTCTGTGAAATTCTTATATTTAGCCTCATAAGCCAAACAATACGACTCATTTATTAAATTTATCATTTCCTTAGTCCATTCAGATTTTGGTTATCTAATGAAATAATAAAGAGTATTGGCTAATAAAGCTGCATAAGAATAATCAAAACACACATCTGCATTTTCACAAACTACAAATGTCATGATAGTGTGAAATAGTAATGATCTGAAAAATGGTTTAAGATCTTCATCTTTTTATGTATATAAAGGAAGAATACAATTAACTACTTCCTCTTCTCCATTTCCAACCTAAAACTTTAATTCATGCTATTAATTCTCTATTAAAGATACAGAATCTAAAAATTTGTGGATTCTCACAAGAGATACAATTTCAATTTTATATGGATCGATCATACTTGCATTTGATCTTCTAACCTACAATCCATAACCAATAATTGGAAATGCAGTCACCAATTAATATTAAGATGTACAATTTTCTAATCCTTAGATTAAGTCTTCTTCTTATAAAATCTCCTTTTAACTTTGTAATGTCATAATTGATCTATCTCCATCATTACCAAGAAATTTGTGTTATTTAAGACACTCTATAAATTAAGTTTTAGCCTTTTAGAAGTCTTCTATTGATAAACCTGCAAATTTGAGAGCTTTATTGTGGAATTTACCCATTTTAGTTCCAATCTTCAATCTATCAGCTGCATCTTTATCACTTAATTAATTTAATGTAAAATCTTATGTGAACAATTTTAATTCAGCAACAACATCTGAAAGTCCTGTTTCTTTAGATTAAGATTCTTAAACTCTTTGAGCAAATGTTTTTTATTTCTTTTAATTCTGAAGCTTTGGTATAGAATTTGATAATCTCTCTAATTCTGAGAGTGCTATTTGAGCTTCTTATTTTACTTTGGCTTTTAATGAAAGTAATTAAATATTCTGTAACCAATAAGAAGCCAATTCTAATATCATAACATCTGAAGGATTTTATGATCTAATTAGTATTCCATCACAAGTGATTTCATGGTTGTGGCTTGCAACCCAACCACCTGACCAAGCCTTTGTTGTTAATTCTTAACTCCATGGAAAACATAAGACAGGTGTTGTTTCACATTATTTTCTTGGTACTAAAATATTACCCACAGATTAAAATTCTTCTTAAAATATTGTATGCAAAAATTTCTCTCTCTCCTAACTTGTTTAATCATGAACGTCAACTATGAACACTGCAGGAATAGATAAATTTCCTGTATGATAAAGATTTCTGAGACTCATAGAGATGTGGGTTGGAAATCCATTTCCAACTCCGACACAAATAAAATTTAGATTTTTTACATTTGGCATATTTTATTTGATTATTTTGTCATCATAGTTTCCCTAACCATCAGAAACAAACACAACTGTTAAATCATTTGTTATATTTTATTTAACAATCTCTTAATTCAAAGCAACAAATGCACGAGTAATATCTGTACCTCCTCCACCATATTAATTAATATTAGGAGTAATATTTTCATTTGGCTACAAAACTTTTACATTTGTGTCAAAAGTAATCGCTATTGATACATTAGCCTTCTCCTTTAATTCATTATAATATTAAGCTACGTATTTCCAATCTATTATAATTAAAAATAATAAGAATACAGCTTGACATAGACCCTGAACAATCTAAAATTGAAATTAGTAATCCTTTTTCTTCAGAATGCTATTTTGGAAGCTTGAAATAATTTAGTTGGACTTCTTAATCCATTAATAAAATAATTATTTTTTTAAAAGCAAATCTTCAGCTTATAAATCTTAATTAATTCTTTCATTATAATTTTACATATTAAATAAATATAAAATCATTAAAAAATAATAAAAAGAAATAAAATGTTGAGAAAATATGTTCATAAAGGATTGATTAATAACAAATAAAGGTTTTGTAAATATGCCAATTATGAAAATCAAATGATAATTCATCCAAATTACCTAACATTTATTAGGAGAAACAATAACACAAAATGCCATATTTTTTTGATTACTCTAATTAAGTAATTAGAAAAAATTGTATCATACTTCTTTTATAACAAACATTTAATTATATTTTGAAATATTTAATTAAACTTATATAAACTAATTAAGGGTTCTTCACTTTTCTAAAATTCATTTTTGGACTTTTCAAACTTTCCAGCTAGATTAAAGTTAGTTGAGAGTAAAAATTCCTAACCTAAAATTTCTCTTTCTACGATGGATATTTTAGTGTTAATCAATTATTATCGATGAAGATTTGTTCCAAAAATATTGTTTAATTTCATGCTTTTTGTTTGTTTTTGCTTTTTGTTAAAGAATAAAAAAAAACTCTATTCAATAAAACAAAATCTAATATACTTTTTATCATGATCCATTTAAAAGAAAATAGTTTATGTAATTTTAAATAATTATTAAGTTGTTATTTATAACTTAAAACATTACAGAAACATGAATTTAAAAAATAAATAAGAATTAAAAGTATCTGAAAATTAATCTAAGTTTTACAAGCTAAAAATATCTAATTTAATTTTTATAATATTCAAACTTTGAAACCGAACAATAATTTAATGAATTAGGCATAATTAAATTCAAATAAGCAAGGATATATTATCATCATTCAATGAACAAATTTTGATGAATGGTTTATCAAATCTTAGCTTATGATACACAATTTTTAAAAGAAATTGAAGCTAATAATTAACCCAATATCCATGACAAATTAGTAATAAGAATATATAAATTATCTATATTTTTGGGCTTCACAAATAAAGTCTTCAAGTAAAAGCCATTTTTCAAATATTAATGATCCTAAAAATCCTGTTTTACTAATAATAATTTAGAATTTATTAGTAAATATAAATGTTAATAATTAAGAGATGAATAAATCATTCATCATAGTCTAATTAAATCTTTTTCTCATGGGATGAGAACACCTTTGAATAGTTGTTAACTAATGTTGAATCTGATGAAATAATAATCATCTACAAGGAATTATTAAGAGTACCATTATTTAATTTTTATCCATTTAAATAATAACCTCCACCACTTATATAAATTATCATTCTATTACATTTTTATATATTTATCTTATCTTAATCCATTATACAATTCTCCCCAAAATAAATTACTCAACATTAACAAAATTTAATATCTGAATTAAATTTAAGAAAAGTTAATAAAATGATAAAAGAATTTAATTAATTTTTGTTAACCATTTTGTAGTGCAACGATAAATATAAACATCTTCATTATTAATGTAGTATAAGCATCTCAGGAGTAAAGAAATAAAGTATCAAATGTTACACATATAT